CTTTTGAAATATGATTTTAATACTTTCTTAATATGCTTAATTTCACTTCTCAGGGGGCCTGGGTGGCTCAGTTAAGTGTCCGACACTTGATCTCAGCTCAGGTCTTGATCTCAGGATCATGAATTCAAGCCCAGTGCTGGGTTCCACGCTGGACATGGAGCCTACTTAAAAAAAATTCCTCATATTGCTTTTCAAGAACAATCTGACAGGCAGTTTAAAGAAATACTCCTCCCCTCAAAGTAAATTAAAAAACTAAACCCAAACTGTAAAATTTCAACTAAGAGACATACATCAGTGCTCACTTTGTATTGATTTTACATTAAATGTATGAATCTATATTTCTACATGTCAAAACAATAGATGCTACCTCAAATAATTCAGGATAATTATTAACAGTAATTCTTTTTATAGAGAAGTACATACATAAAATGTCTTAGGAATTACATTGAATAAAATACGGACCCCAGCACTTGACCTACAAATGAGCTGTTCTTGTGCAAAAGTCCAAAGGCTAGTTTAAGTGCCTGTTTACAGTCCTGCACGGAAATAGGGGGTTTCAGTTAACTGAAATAGAACTTTCATTTGCAATGTCATCATTAATGGGAAACATGCAGTCCTTCTTTCCACAGAACCCTGGCTGAAGGTTACCACTTATTGGTTAATGTTACCACTGAGACAGAAGTCAAGTGTTTTCAAATGGCTTAGTGATTCTGTACTGAACCCAGTACAGTACTAAACCCACAAGAGGGGCTCACGGACAGAAGCAGTTATATTTATGTTAATGCCATATAGTTAACATACAGTGTTATATTAGTTTCAGGTGTACAATATAATGATCCAACTATTCTATACATTATTCACTGCTCATAAGTGCATTCCTTAATCCCCATCACCTATTTAACCCCCCCCCACCTCCCTTCTGGTAACCATCAGTTTGTTTTCTCTAGTCAAAAGTCTATTTCTTGGCTTTTTCCCTTTTGCTCATTTGTTAAGTTCCACATATGGGTAAAATCACATGGTATTTGTCTTTCTCTGACCTATTTCGCTCAGTGTTATATTCTCTTGATCCATCCATGTTGTTGCAAATGGCAAGATTTCATTCTTTTTTAATAGCTGAATAATATTCCATTGTGTATGTTTACCACCTCTTGTTTATCTATTGATGGACATTTGGGCTGCTTCCATAATTTGGCTATTGTAAATAATGCTGCAATAAGTTGGGGTACATATATCACTTTGAATTAGAGTTTTTATATTTTGGAGGTAAATACCTAGTAGTGTGATTACTGGATCATATAGTTCTATTTTTAAGTTTTTGAGGAACCCCCATACTGTTTTCCACAGTGACTGCACCAGTTTTCATTTGCACCAACAGTTCATGAGCGTTTTTCTCCACATCCTCACCAACACTTGTTTTTTATTTTAGCCATTCTGACAACTGTGAGGCATCTCATTATAGTTTTGATTGCATTTCCCTGATAAGTGATGTTGTGCATCTTTTCATGTATCTCTTGGTCATCTGTATGTCTTCTTTGGAGAAATGTCTGTTCATATCTTCTGCCCATTGTTTAATTGGATTATTTGTTTCTTGGGTGTTGAGTTGTTTCAGTTCTTTATATATTTTGATACTAACCCTTTATTGGATGTGTCATTTGCAAATATCTTCTCCCATTCAGTAGGTTGCCATTTAGTTTGATGATTGTTCCCTTTGTGGTTTATCTTTTTATTTTGATGTAGTACCAATGGTTTATTTATTTTACTTGTTTCCCTTGCCTAAGGAGACATATCTAGCAAAATGTTGCTATGGCTGATGTCAGCAATATTACTACCTGTGCCCTCTTGTAGGATTTGTAGTTTCAGATCTCACATTTAGGTTCTTAATCCATTTTATTTTTGTATATGGTGTCAGAAAGTAGTCCAGTTTTCCCAACACCATTTGTTGAAGAGACTGTCTTTTCCCCATTGTATATTCTTGCTTCTTTTGTCAAAGATTAATTGACCTTAAAATTATGGGTTTATTTCTGGGTTTTCTACTCTGTTTCATTGAGCTATGTGTTTTTATGCCAGTACCATACCATTTTGATTACTACAGCTTTGCAATATAAATTGAAACCTGAAATTGTGATACTTCAAGTTTCTTTTTCAAGATTGCTTTGACTATTTGGGGTCTTTAGTGATTCCACACAAATTTTAGGTTTGTTCTAGTTCCATAAAAAATGCTGTATTTTGATAGGGATTGCATTAAATCTGTAGATTACTTTTGGTTGTATATATTTTAACAGTATTTGTTCTTCCAATCCATGAGCATGCAATGTCTTTCCATTTCTTTGTGTCATCTTCAATTTCTTTCATCAATGTTTTATAGAGTACAGGTCTTTCCTCTCTTTGGTTAAGTTTATTCCTAGTTATTTTGTTATTTTTGGTGTAATTGTAAATAAGAGGGGTTTTTAAAAACTTATGTTCCACTTAGTTAACATACAGTGTAATATTAGTTTCAGATGTACAATATAGTGACTCAACACTTCCATCCATACATCACTCAAGCCCTCATCGCAAGTGTACTCCTTAATCCCCATCACCTATTTACCCCATTCCCTCACCCACCTCCCTTCTGATATCCATCAGTTTATTCTCAATTGTTAAGAGTCTCTTTCTTGGTTTGCTTCTCTTTCTTTTAATGTCAATTTCTGCTGCTTTCTGTACATTGATTTTGTATCCTGAACTCACTTACCAATTCTAGCATTTTGGTGGTCTTTAGGGTTTTCTATATCCAGTATCATGTCATCTGCAAATTGTTTTACTTCTTCTTTACCAATTTGGATCCTTGTTGTTATTGTCATCTAATCACTGGGGCTAGGACTTCCAATACTATGAAGAGTGGACATCTTTACCTTGTTCCTGGCCTTAGGGGAAAGCTTTCAGTTTTTCCCCATTGAGTATGATGTTCACTGTGGGTTCTTCATATATGGTTTTTATTATGTTGAGGTATGTTCCCTCTAGACTTTGCTGAGAATTTTTTTTAAAGACTTTATTTATTCATGAGAGAGAGGGAGGGAGGGAGAGGCAGAGACACAGAGGGAGAAGCAGACTCCATGCAGGGAGCCTGATGTGGGACTCAATCCCAGGTCTCCAGGATCACACCCTTGGCTGAAGGCAGTGCTAAACCGCTGGGCCACCCAGGCTGCTCGCTGAGAATTTTTTTATCATGAATAGATACAAATGCTTTTTTGCTTTCTCTTATTGATGTGATGTGTCATGTTGATTATCAAACCACACTTGTATCCCAGGAATAAATCCTACTCAACTGTGGTGAAATGATTTTTAATGTAGTGTTGGATTCTGTTTGCTAGTATTTTGTTGAGAATTTCTGCATCTATGTTCATCAGATACTGGCCTACAGTTCACTTTTTTGGTGGCCTTTATCTGATTTTGGTATCAGGGTGATACCTCATAGAATGAATTTGGAAGTTTTCCTTTCTCTTCTATTTTCTGGAATAGCTTGATAAAAGTACGTATTAATTCTTTTGTAAATGTTTGGTAGAATTACCTCTGAAGCCATGTACTCCTGACTTTTGTTTGTGGGGAGGTCTGTTTATTTATTTATTTTTTACTACTGATTCAACCTCTTTGCTGGTAATTGGTCTGTTTAAATTTTCTATTTCTTCCCGCTTCAGTTTTGGTAGGTTGTTTCTAGGACTTTATTCTAGGTTGTCCAATTTGTCAGCATATAATTTTTCATAATATTCTCTTATAATTGTATTTCTGTGGTATTATTTGGATTTTTTTTTTTTAATGAGTCTGGTTAGAGGTTTATCCATTTTGTTGCTCTTTTCAAAGTACCAGCTCCTAGTTTCATTGATCTGTTCTATTCTTTGCTTGTTCTTTATCTAGTTCCTTTAGATGTTAGGCTGTTTGAAATTTTTCTTGCTTCTTGAGGTAGGCCTGTATTGCTATGAACTCCCCTCTTAAAACTGTGATAGCAGTTATAGAATGTAGGTTAAATTTTTATTTCTGTATGCTCCATGTTGCAGGGAAGTACAGGCTTCTAAATGGGAAATGAGGAAAGTAACTGAGGAAACATATCCAGCCACACCTCCGTAGAATGTAGATGGCACATCAACAAGGAGAATAGGACAGTAGGTTGGATGATGTGGGTCCATTTTCACCACAGACCTACTCAACACAGCCTTGTTGTTTATGTTTAGCATTAGTATACTTTCTTAGCAAAATATAGTCCATCTTAGGGAGACTGAAGTTAGAGGTTTGCTTTCTGATGTGAAGATTCATGGCTATACAGACTAATTCAGTAAGCATAGACTTTAATGATACAATGTTCACATTAAAAACTTGCAAAATTTGCTGGCATGAATAATTTTTATTTTTTTTAATCAAATTGTGGGGTCTGTTTATAAGTGAGTAGTGGCTTATAGGTATGTCAATATACAAATATATTTAGGATATACATGCACTTAGATAAAATTACATAATTCTAAAGTTAGTTTTGTCCACTCCCTGGACCTTTTAAAAGTGTATTATTTCATAAAATTCAAAACAACTAAGAACAGATACTCCAGTAGAAGAAAAGAACTTAAGTGCTATAGGAAAGAATAAAGAGCACATGGGAAGAATATGTATTAGTATTAAAATAACAGGCCAAGCCCACTTAAGCTGGTGTACACAACCTGCCTCTTTAAAATATATGTATTTCTTTGAATAGGGCCAACCATAGCAAGTACATGTTGTCTGTAACATTTCTAGGATAATGATTGAGAAACCTATTTTTCTAAGAGAAAAAATCACTAGTGATGAATTAGTATTATTTCCCAGTTAAGTGACCTTTTCTTTCATTTTAGCTGTTATGGAATTGCAGTGCAGCTAAATGTGTAATTACAGTGTCATAACAGATTAAGAAAAAGTCTATTTGTTTCACAAGCATCATTTGGAATGACTTGGAGAAACAGAATTCTGAGTATGTATCAAATACTTCATACAAAAAAGACTATACAAAAATCATGGACTTTATTATACATTAAAAATCTCCTAACAGCATATTTCCTGAAGCCTTATCAGAGAATACCTACTTTGACAAAATGAAAAAAATAAGCTCTCCACCCCACATGTATACCGTTACATAAAGTTGAGTTCTTCAATTCTAAAGGGAAATGTAGCATGATTTTTAATTGTATATATGCATGATTAATATCAGTGAGATAAGAATTCACTTAACATTACAAAATCACCAAATATACAAAGCAGTTTTGCACGTTATAACTTAATCCCCAATTCTCATATTAGCTGAAGTAAATTACATGAGTACAGCCACAAGAGACTAGTTAAAAAGTATAGTTCCAGTTTCAAATCTTTGTGTTATTAATGAAGAACAAAATTCATGAAAGAAGAGTAAGCCAAACTTGCTTAAAATAAAAGGAAAGGCTTGCTTCCTACAATGTGTTTGAATATTTAAAGTACAGTTGAATGCTAGGAGGTTGGAGTCAAAACCAATGTTAGTATTTTCATTTTATTCAGGTAGCAGGTTTTCAATACACAGGATCTTAGGGTCTGTCAGCATTTATAATAAGATTCAAATCTTAAATATCTGTAGTTCCTACATATAACTCAAAATTAACTCAGATGCCTTTAACCACACAAGACTGTACATTACATAGAATGTTATGCATACCCTACTATCCTTTTCTCAAGCGTAAGAGTAATAATTTTACCACTCCTAGAGCCTGAAAATGCTTTTGAAATTAAACACAAACTAATCATTGTAGAAATGGCAAAAACTAAACTGGCTTTGGGGACTCTGTTCAGTCCCTTGATAACAAGTTTTAAAATTTTTAAAGGGAAAAGCTGTAATTAAGTTTCCTATATACTGACTTCATTACCATCGTTAGAAAAGTACTGTTCCTATACGTAGCAGAGTACATAGCTTTAGTAGGTAGACTTAATTTCTTTTAAAGAATGTTTTGTTAATTTCTAAAAACCATCAAGTGTAAGTTTGAATCCGAGAAAGCTACCTCACAAAGCATTCAGAACCAGGTGGGATTTCAAAGAGTAACAGACCAAGATCAGCTTTAACATTATGCAGAAACTTCAAACAAAAAGGCAAGTTTTTTAAAGTCGATGCTTAAATATCTGCAGTATGGAATAGTTCTTATAGTTCTATAGCAATGGACCAAAAGTTCAAATACCTAAAATCGTTAATCTCACACATGACTTCTATTTGGTGTTGTAATGCTCTTTGGTCTGATCTGTGGACATGGGTGTGTTATTGCAGAAATTCCTATCAAAATCATGACCTAAAACGAATTACAGGTCTATCCAGCATCCCTAAGCTGGCCAATGCCGTTAACTCCAGCATTCACTTTGACCCAGAGTACTAACAAAGGGCAGCATCTTGTTACCAGGCACAGTACCAGCCTCCTAAGGCTGACCACCTTCCTTGTAGGGTGATAAGTTTCATCTGAATTAAGTGAACTGACAATAACATAAGCAAAAGACTTAAACAGAGAGCTTACTAATTCTCAAAAAAGGTCTTAATAGCAGGACCTGCCATGACTAGTGAGGTGCGGACCACAGAAATTTCAACTTCTACCAAAGGAATCATATAACAATTATTGTGAAAGCATTCCCTTGTAGTAAGCACAAAATCAACTTTCTCCAAAAAGTACTCCATAAATTTCTATTGTTACTATATGTTTTGGTAACATAAGACTTCAAAATAATATTATCAAGTAATCATTATTCCCATTTGGCACGTGGATAAAAAGAATATCATGATCCTATATATAATTATTCCCTTCCACAGAAAACAGTGTGCATTCAGTGTGAAACAGCCACATTGTATTGAGAGACTAAAACAGATGCCATCTCTAATTCAGAACTAAGAAAAGACTATCAAAGAACAATGGGCTTTTCCATCTTGAAGTGGCTAATTTCTTGAAAATTTTAGATGTGTGACTATGTATTTTGTTCAAAATATTTAACTTGTCTCTTTATAGTTTTACATGTGAAACAAAAAATTTACATAATTTCTATCAGCAATATTAAAAGTCTGAGTAAAGAAAAAAAAAGTTTTGACATGGCAATAGGGAAATGTCATTTTAACCTAGGCACCAGGCTAAAATCTTTCCTTGGTCAACTCTCTTATACCAAACATTCAATTCCTTTCAATCTTTCATGGAATTAGACCTTTTACTCATTTGAAGAGTACAAGTATTTACAATAATTAGTGCAAATTATTCTCATATATTATTTGCCTTTGTGGATATAAAGTGGTGATCAGTATTTTATCAAAACATGGAATTATGAAAATACTGTGCATATCAGTCTGAAATTTAAAAGATTACATTTTCTAAACTAAACTTTGGGCTTTTTTACTTTAAGCAGGAAACAACAGTTATAGAACTTCTTTTGAAATGTCACTTGATTTTGAATAAAAATTATTTCACACAATGCAGAAAATACGATGTTATCCTGTAACAATATCTTACATGTTAAGTCCTAATCTAAAATGTACTTGAACAAAAAAAAAAAAATCCCTTTTAATAAATTCCAGAATCTTATTTTAACCATTACTGCTCTGCAGCAATAATTCAAGTCCCAACCTGAGAACTAAGAATGTGATAATTAAATGCCACGGGCTGTATCAATCTTGAACTGAAGACACTTATGCTTCTTTCCCACTGGCATCAGGTGTAGTACATCAGAGAAATGTGAGCAATCCAAGAAAGTGCCCTGAAATCACAGTACCACCTGCCACAATTTGAAACCTTAAGTCTAAAATTTCTCTAATTTTATATAAAAGTTCTATTGCACGTTTAATAATTAAAATATTTGCAAACTTGTAGAATTCTTTGTATAAAGGGTTTTGAATCAATTCAGTCAAAAGCTTCCTCACTGCCAGCAAAAATGTTTCTAACGAGAAGAGGGAGCATATCCATGAATACCTGAAGCTGAAGAATAAAAGTTTTCTTATGGTCAGAGCCAATTACAATGCAAGATAAGAAGTTCACAATTTGAAGGAAAAAAGGCTTGAGCAAGTATAATTCCTCAGCAATCTACTTCAAGGAGATGAACAGGTTTCTCTTAGACATGTGGAATTTGATGTTACTGCATAGTATATTATTTTTAAGGGAAAAAAAATCAATTCAAACCTAAGTGATCAAGGTAAATCTTATTTTTAAAAATGAAGTTAAAACAAACAAGCAAATATAAACTTTAGTCTCCTTGATATTTCAACATAGTTGTTACCTTGTGCCATTTCACCACAGAAACTGTCAATAAATTCCAAGGGGGGAAATACCAACCCAAAAGCAAGGATAAGTTCATGCTTCTGACTCTCTTTTCTTTCCTTCTTCTCCCAAATCACTCTCTTCTGACTGGCTACTGCTAAGGACAACAAACTGCCCCTCACTACTGGCTTGGTTCGGTCTACTGGAAGCAGCTATCAAGCGACTCTGTTCTTCTAAGTCCTAGTAGAAAAGACAGAAAAGAAACTAAGTTTATTGTTTGCAATCAAATGCAAAACTATGCATTTAAAATACAACTTGAGAGCTACTTCAATCCTTCTGTCAAACATTTATGCATAATTCTGGCAACTTACTGAAAACAAAGGCTACACACAACCAGTGCAACACCAAAGTGAATTCTGGCACCATTTTAGAAATCCTGTAAAAGCCAACGTTGCCCTCTTCTCTGTTTTAATGGCAACAATAATATTCAGACCATTGTTATCTCTCACTATATGCCAATACAATGTTCATAACAGATCACTCCACATCCCTGCCTAACCACTGCCCCCGCCCCCCGCGTCCAACTTATCTTGTTAGATCAGTTGTTGCCCTCCCTCAGCCTACCCTAGCAAGAAAGCCTCAACTTCATGGTCATCTTCATCATATCTCTCTCCTTTGTCAGAAAGTCCAATTTATTCCCAATTCCTGCTGATCTATACTCAGTAAGTATCCCACAAATGTCTCTTTTTTTCCCCACTGTTATTGCCAATGCCACAACCCATAACTGGGTCTCACAATCTCATGTGTTCTTTAGATTTTGCTCTAAAATTTGCCTAAATATTATCCTGTTGGATGGACAATAATTTGACACTCCTGGTAGCACTGAATGTTTACATATACATTCCTGGAAACCAGTAAAGCTGTCAGCAATGGCAGTTAAAGCCCATACACACATGTACACATAGGGCCATTGGAATATGGAAATATAAAAGTTCTGATATATTTGCTAAACAGTAAGTCAATTACATGTCGGTTACCATAGTGTGAACATCCTATCAGAAGACAGACGTCTTCCTTTTCTGCTGTGCTATGAATCATCTGGTTATAAAGTGGCTGAGGAATGAGAAACAGACTTTCATTTGGAAATTCAAATCTGAAAGTCACAGTCCTGAATTAAGGAAATTTCATAAACATTACACCAGAGAAGATCTAGATATTGGGACTACATACCTTTTCAATTTGCTTTTGTTTACTGAGTTCTTTCTGTTGCTTCTCTTTTACCCTCTCCATTTCTTTTTGTTTTTCTGATGCCCTACGATCCTGAAAAGCAGACAAATACAACTAATGAATTAAATATTAAATAATTTTAAATTTTAGATTTTTAAAAAAGATTTTATTTATTTATTCATAAGAGACACAGAGAGAGAGGCAGAGACACAGGCAAAGGGAGAAGCAAACTCCCTGGAGGGAGTCTGATGTGGGACTCAATCCTAGATCCCGAGATCATGCCCTGAGCCAGAGGCAAACACTCAACCGCTAAGCCACTCAGGTGTCCCAAATTTTTGATTTTTTCAATTAATACTGCCTTTGCAACCTTTTCGTATTTTTTATATTTATATGAAAGCACACTAAAAATTTATATTCTTAGTCACTTATCCAAATTCTAATGCTATACCAGCAAATAACCTTGGACAGCAAAATTATTTTATTTACTTGCTAATATTAAAGATTTTAGATAACATTCTTGAAGGGGCAGGGCAGTTGGGTGGCTCAGTTGGCTCAGCATCCAACTGTTAATTTCGACTCAGGTCATGATCTTAGGGTCATGAGATCAAGCCCTGCATAGGGCTGCATGGTCAGTAGTAGGGTGTTGGAGATTCTCTTTCTCTCCCTGTTTCTATGCCCCTCTCCCCACCTGTGCTCTAAATAAATAAAATCTTAACTTAGAAAATGGATAACATTCTTGGATAGTTATCTTGGATTCTTACCAGTTCTGCATGCAAGGCTATCTGTTTTGCCAGTCCAACAGAATCACAAATCTAAAAGGGGAAAGTGTAGAAAAACCTCAGGCAGTTTTCACATCAAAGTAACAATTTCTAAATGGCTGATACAACTAGATTTATAACTCATTATAACAGGCAGCTTCAAACAAAAGGTGATTTAAGAATGTTCCAACCCTGGGGCACCTGGGTGACTCATTTGAAGACTGACTCTTGATTTCAACTCAGGTAATGAAATCAAGCCCCATGTTGTACTCTGCACTCAGTACAGAATCTGCTTAAGATTCTCTCTCCCCTTGCCCAACCCCCCCATCCTGTTCATGCTAAATAAGTAAATATCTTTAAAAAGCAAAAACAAAAAAAGAATGCTCCAGCCCCCAAATGAAGCATCTGTGTATATTCTTCAGAATCTATGAGTTTCTACTGCACACACCCCATCTTCCTATTACCTCAGATTCCTTACTGAAATGGTAAAGTCTGCAAAGAATGAAGCAAGCAGATGCTGATGCTGCTTTAAGCTGAAAACACTTGAAAAGAGCCGATTATGGTAATATACTGCATTCCCAGAGTCAGTTAATGAAGGCAGAAGACTACACCAGCTATCAACAGCCAAGGAAGACACAGGTCTGTAGTCAGAAGGGCCAACCCACCATCTCAGCTCTCTTCAGAGCAACAGGATTTGCTCAAACAACTTAGATGGATTAGGCCAAATCTGGTTTTTCCCAGAGATCTTACTAAGAACTTCAACTACGATAGACATTTCACAACAGAAACACATTTTGAAAAGCCATGTACCTTTTCCCCTTCATTATTTGATTCAAATATATAGCAGACTGATGACAGATTACTTTCACTTCTCCCTCCTGATGTCCGAAGAACAAATCCAAAAAGCCTCTTATTTTCCTGGTGTGTAGCGTACAAAACTACACAGGGTAATGGAAACTGCCACAGAAAACATCAGAAGCAAACAGATTTTTCAAACATACACACTTCTACATGAAAAACTCAAGTACTAAGTCATAAAAACATTATAAACAGAACATTAGAGCCATTTTTTTTTTTTTTATCAGAATAGCAACCTAAGAACAAAAATGTCATGTTTGGTTCGGATTACCAGGCAGAGTAAGAGGCTGTTGACTATCCAACTTATTAGTCATTTATACATTTTACAAAATCAAAATCAGTAACAATACAGTCCATCTTATTAAATGATTAAATAAGAGCACATACTTGCAGCTATTTCAACACATATAATTATAAAATAAACTCACTCGTGTTCACCATTTAATTCCTACCATTGTGTTTATCCCTTAACTAGGCAGCATGTACCATATACTAAAAAACTAAGTAGGACAACCAGATTGCACTGATTCTTTAAGTACATGGGATGTTCAATGAAAACTTCTCGGGGGGAGATGGCCATAGGCTTAATTATAACTTAGCCAATCATAATTAATACTGTATTTTAATATAATCAGAATGTTTATAACAATACAAACATGTATATGCATAAAAGAGACTTCCAATAAAGCTTTAAACGTGCAGAACTCACTGTGAGCCTTGTAACTTGTGTCTGTGGATCAATTAACCTATAATTAAAAATTTGGAAAACAAATTTTAACTAGGCTGAAATTAAACACTTTTTCCTACAGTTTTTTAAGGGGGAGATCATTACTTACTTTAAACAATCACAAGTGACTAATAAATGTGATTCTGTCATACGAAAGATGTTATGGATGGCCCGGGCAGCTAAGATTTGCCGCATTGTTTCATAAACAACATCTGGACTGTCGTCTGATTTCACCTCCATAGAACCAAGGAATCGCACGATAAATAACTGATGAAGAATAGAATCTACAAAAGAACAAGGTACATTACATACTTTAAATCCCACATTTCTCTTAAGAGTAAAATATATTGTCCCCTTTTAGATTTTCTAATGAAAAATTCAATCTAGTAGCAGTATTTAGAAATTACTCCTAACTATGGTGGTCAAGTTATAGGAAAATTAAAGGTCTCTAATTCAAATAGCAAAAGGTTAGGCTTCAATAATTGGTGGTTCTGGGGAAGACTGGGTGGCTCAGCAGTTCAGCACCTGCCTATGGCCCAGGGCGTGATCCTGGAGTTCCAGGATTGAGTCCCACATCAGGCTCCCTGCATGAAGCCTGCTTCTCTCTCTGCCTATGTCTCTGCCTCTCTCTCTCATGAATAAATAAATTTAAAAAAACAAACAATTGATGGTTCCAAGTTAAAAAAAAATTCCTTGTACTATTCTTACAGCTTTTAAGTTTGAAATTTATCAAAATAGTTACTAAAAAAAAAAAAAGAGAGAGAGAGAGAAAGAAAAAAGTTAATGCTCTAGTTCCAGAAGAAAACATCAGCTGCTAAGAAAAGCTTAAAGGATATCTTCTGCATTGAGAATCTGACTGTGAGGTCAAAAGTATAATATTCTATAATTTTAATGAAATCCTTAAGCCTGATTAAGTTCTGTTGCTTTGAGTATTATGAGCAAAAAGACAACCGTGAAGTTACCATTAAAACCGCATAATCAGAATAAATATAAACAAATTCTTCACAGTTTACCACTAAAAATTTTAAGATAGAAGAATACCACACATCTGTTTTACCTTCAGTTTCAGATTTTGTACCTCCTCCAGATTCTCCAAATGGATTTGTGCGCCTGAAAAGTTTTTAAAAAAATTATGAACCAATGGTCAGTTACCATAAGCCTATGGAAGAAATCCCAATCATTAAAACTAGAGCTAAAAACTAGGAGTCACAAAAACTTGAACATATCTTGTTTTTTTTTAAAAAAAGCTCTGATCGAGACACCTGGGTGACTCAGCGGTTCAGCACCTGCCTTCGGCCCAGGGCGTGATCCTGGAGACCCAGGATTGAGTCCCACATCGGGCTCCCTGCATGGAGCCTGCTTCTCCCTCTGGCTGTATCTCTGTCTCTGCCTCTCTCTCTCTCTCTCTCTCATGAATAAATAAAATCTTCAAAAAAAATTTTTTTTAAATAAAAAAAAATAAAAAGTTCTGAAATGCCCCATCCTGTTAAAGAACACTACTGAATGCCCACTTTAACGAAATCCCCTGCCTTCACATTTAGCAGGCTGAACTCAAAGTTGCTGCATTCTAGAAGAGATGGATGAACTGATGTGTAGACATACATACATATATACACATACACACCCCAACATCCTACAAACCATGTTGTGAAAATCCTTAAATTTAAATAAAGGGGGACAGAGAAAAGCTGATTTAACTTCAATCTTAACTGAGAAAAACGCCAGGGATTTCCTTAAATCGTAAAAACCTTTTTAAGTCCTCTTAATACATACTGTAAGTTAATTATGCTAATTTGAACATTTTCTAGTTTTAAACCCATTTCTCAAGGCATACGTAACAGAATGCAAGAAGAAAAGCTAATTGGGGGGGGAGGGGCAAGATGGCGGAAGAGCAGGGTCCCCAAATCACCTGTCCCCACCAAATTACCTAGATAACCTTCAAACCATCCTGAAAATTTACGAATTCGGCCTGAGATGTAAAGAGAGACCAGCTGGAACGCTACAGTGAGAAGAGTCCGCGCTTCTATCAAGGTAGGAAGACGGGGAAGAAGAAATAAAGGAACAAAAGGCCTCCGAGGGGGAGGGGCCCCGGAGGAGCTGGGCTGAAGCCGGGGCGAGTGTCCCCAGGACAGGAGAGCCCCGTCCCGGAGGAGCAGGAGCTGCACCAACCTTCCCGGGCGGGCGGAAAGGGGCTCGCAGGGAGTTGGAGCAGGACCCAGGAGGGCGGGGATGCCCTCGGGCTCCCTGGGACACTAACAGACACCTGCGAGCGCAGGAGAGTGCTCCGAGCTCCCTAAGGGCTGCAGCGCGCACGGCGGGACCCGGAGCAGCTCGGAGGGGCTCGGGCGGCGGCTCCGCGGAGGGGGCTGCGGGGCGGGAGCGCGAATCCAACAGCGCAGGCCCCGGAGCACAGGGCGCCGGGACACAGCCCAGGATCCGGCCTCCCCCGGGACAGGCAGAGGCCGGGAGGGCCCGAGGACAGCGAGGACGCTCCTGCCCCGAGCTGAGCAGATCAGCGGCACCGCCCCGGAGCCTCCAGGCCCTGCAGACGGAGAACCGAGAGCCCCGTAGTTCCTGCGGAGGCTAAATCCAGGCTTCCAGAGTTGCCATAGCAACTGCTGCTGTTCCTCCTGGGGCCCCACGGGGTAAACAACGCCCGCTGAGCCCTGCAGCAGGCAGGGGCAGAGCAGCTCCCCCAAGTGCTAACACCTGAAAATCAGCACAGCAGGCCCCTCCCCCAGAAGACCAGCTGGACGGACCAGTGATACTCCCCCGTGTTCCAATACAACTTGTTTTTGGCCACTCTGCACTGAGCAAAATGACTAGAAGGAAAACCTCACCTCAAAAGAAAGAATCAGAAACAGCCCTCTCTCCCACAGAGTTACAAAATCTGGATTACACTTCAATGTCAGAAAGCCAATTCAGAAGCACTATTCTACAGCTACTGGTGGCTCTAGAAAAAAGCATTAAGGACTCACGAGACTTCATGACTGCAGAATTTAGATCCAATCAGGCAGAAATTAAAAATCAATTGAATGAGATGCAATCCAAACTAGAAGTCCTAACGACGAGGGTTAACGAGGTGGAAGAACAAGTGAGTGACATAGAAGACAAGTTAATGGCAAAGAGGGAAACTGAGGAAAAAAGAGACAATCAATTAAGGGACCATGAAGACAGATTAAGGGAAATAAATGACAGTCTGAGGAAGAAAAACCTACGTTTAATTGGGGTTCCCGAGGGCGCCGAAAGGGACAGAGGGCCAGAATATGTATTTGAACAAATCCTAGCTGAAAACTTTCCCAATCTGGGAAGGGAAACAGGCATTCAGATCCAGGAAATAGAGAGATCCCCCCCTAAAATCAATAAAAACTGTTCAACACCTCGACATCTAATAGTGAAGCTTGCAAATTCCAAAGATAAAGAGAAGATCCTTAAAGCAGCAAGAGACAAGAAGTCCCTGACTTTCATGGGGAGGAATATTAGGGTAACAGCAGACCTCTCCACAGAGACCTGGCAGGCCAGAAAGGGCTGGCAGGATATATTCAGGGTCCTAAATGAGAAGAACATGCAACCAAGAATACTTTATCCAGCAAGGCTCTCATTCAAAATGGAAGGAGAGATAAAGAGCTTCCAAGACAGGCAGGAACTGAAAGAATATGTGACCTCCAAACCAGCTCTGCAAGAAATTTTCAGGGGGACTCTTAAAACTCCCCTTTAAGAAGAAGTTCAGTGGGGATCCCTGGGTGGCGCAGCGGTTTGGCGCCTGCCTTTGGCCCAGGGCGCGATCCTGGAGATCCAGGATCGAATCCCACATCGGGCTCCCGGTGCATGGAGCCTGCTTCTCCCTCTGCCTATGTCTCTGCGCCCCTCTCTCTCTCTCTGTGACTATCAAAAATAAATAAATAAAATAAAAAAAAAAAAAGAAGTTCAGTGGAACAATCCACAAAAACAAGGACTAAATAGATATCATGATGACACTAAACTCATATCTGTCAATAGTAACTCTGAACGTGAATGGGCTTAATGACCCCATCAAAAGGCGCAGAGTTTCAGACTGGATAAAAAAGCAGGACCCATCTATTTGCTGTCTACAAGAGACTCATTTCAGACAGAAGGACACCTACAACCTGAAAATAAAAGGTTGGAGAACCATTTACCATTCAAATGGTTCTCAAAATATACCCTAAAAACTACAGAACACTTCTGAAAGAAATTGAGGAAGACACAAAGAGATGGAAAAATATTCCATGCTCATGGATTGGCAGAATTAATATTGTGAAAATGTCAATGTTACCCAGGGCAATTTACACGTATAATGCAATCCCTATCAAAATACCATGGACTTTCTTCAGAGACTTAGAACAAATTATTTTAAGATTTGTGTGGAATCAGAAAAGACCCCAAACAGCCAGGGGAATTTTAAAAAAAGAAAACCATATCTGGGGGCATCACAATGCCAGATTTCAGGTTGTACTACAAAGCTGTGTTCATCAAGACAGTGTGGTACTGGCACAAAAACAGACATATAGATCAATGGAACAGAACAGAGAACCCAGAAGTGGACCCTGAACTTTATGCTCAACTAATATACGATAAAGGAGGAAAGACGATCCACTGGAAGAAAGACAGTCTCTTCAATAAATGGTGCTGGGAAAATTGGACATCCACATGCAGAAGAATGAAACTGGACCACTCTCTTGCACCATACACAAAGATAAACTCAAAATAGATGAAAGATCTAAATGTGAGACAAGATTCCATCAAAATCCCAGAGGAGAACTCAGGCAACACCCTTTTTGAACTTGGCCACAGTAACCGGAGAAGGACAAACAGTGTATGTTCTCATTCATTTGGGGAATATGAATAATAGTGAAAGGGAATATAAGGGAAGGGAGAAGAAATGTGTGAGAAATATCAGAAAGGGAGACAGAACATAAAGACTTCTAACTCTGGGAAATGAACTAGGGGTGGTGGAGGGGGAGGAGGGCGGGGGGTGGGGGTGAATGGGTGACGGGCACTGAGGGGGACACTTGACGGGATGAGCACTGGGTGTTATTCTGTATGTTGGTAAATTGAACACCAATAAAAATTAATTTATAAAATAAAAAAAAATAAAAAAATAAAAAAAAATAAAAAAAAAGAAAAAGAAAAGCTAATTAGTGATGGTAGCTACCTCCTTCCTCATTATGAGTGGCTCTTGGCACACCCACAATGAAGGAATAAAAGTATAACTCAAAATAGGTTTTGTAAGGAAACAGCTAAATGGTTTTAAAATAATGTTGGCATTAAGATAACATGAAACTGATCTCTGTAATTCAAAGGTGCCCTATTATATCAAATGCTAAGTGTATTTCTGTGATCAAGTACAAATTATTTTTCTTCGTCATAGCCATGTATTATCCAAATTAGTCTCAATTTATTAGGTGTCCAACCTACTTAAATAAATAATTTGCCTTGAGTGACATTTCCTTCATCCTAGAGCCAAAGAAAAATTTTAAACAGCCTTCACACTCCTCATTATATAACCAAAAGATGATTTTATTAATAATTTATAGCATGATAATGTTTTAGTAACTTCCTGGAGATTTCTTATTCTGACCCAAGATGATATTTTTCTTTTTTTTAAGATTTTATTTAATTATTCATTTAGAGACAGAGAGGCAAAGACACACAGAGAGGGAGAAGCAGGCCCCACACAGGAAGCCCAATGTGGGACTCGATCCGAGGACTCCAGGATCACGCCCTGAGCCAAAGGCAGATGCTCAACCGCTAAGCCACCCAGGCATCCCCCAAGATGATATTTTTTGTACAAACCTATAGCACATGTATTACTCTCAAGAATTTCTAAATATTGTCATGATCTATAGACAGGACTGTCAACTTTCTTCTACAATTTTAAGAGCAAATACCAGAAGTAGATCTGATAAGCAATTCAAAATTAACTATTTTTAAAATTAACTTATCTTCACTTACTTAGACAGAAAACAAAGAGAAAAACCTGCATGATTCCTTCCCAACTATCAAAATCAAGTAATTAAAAGAAGTACAACATAATTGATAAACATATATGAGAGATGACTCTCAACTGCAAAAATGGAATCACAAGCCTTACAGACCACAGAACAGTATCCCTGTGATGCCATCACCCACCTGCCGCCCTGGCCAAAGGCTTTTGCCTGGCCAGGCTGATCTTCACACACGGGAGAAATGATGTCAAATTGTATTGGAGTGTCTGGAGCAACGAGAGAATCTAGAGAAAGGGCAGCCAAGTTTGTGGACTCAGATCCTAAGGATCCTGAGCTGCTGGTTCGAGCTGTTGGTGGCCGAGATTGTCTAAGCAAAGAAGAAAACGAGAAAGCATTGCCTTTAGTTTTCTCTGTTTGAAACTGAATACAAATAATGAGAAAAGAAAATACAATTTTATAAGTCAATGAGAGGAGCAGAAATTTCAATAACAAAACTTTTCTTTCCAATGACTAAATTCAAAAACATAAATGATCTTAATCTAGAGATAAAGCACTAGGGCAATTTGGAATCATTTATTTAGCACTCTTGCTAGTAGATTTACTTAAAAATACACTTTCTATGTTTTGGGGGAATTATTTCATACTAATATAAGTAGCACTGCTAAAATCAAAGTGTTTGCTAACATTTTCAATAGCCCATATAGTTTTAAATAACCCAAAGTCTGGTAACTCACGCTGCTGGCCGCAAGCTCTCGTGCCTCTGCTGGAAAGATGGGGAAGGAGTGACCGCTTCCAAAGCTGACTGATTTACTCGTGCAGCAATTTCCTATTTTTTAAAAAGGACAAGAATTAGTAAAGCAAGGAAACCAAAAATTTGAGTATAACTCTATTGTCAGAATGTTCGAGTTACACTTAAAATGAAAACTGGAGTTACTAAAGTAGTTCCACATTCTGTCTTTTTTTTTTTTTAGGTTTTTATTTTATTTTTTTTTAATTTTTATTTATTTATGATAGTCACACACACAGAGAGAGAGAGAGAGAGGCAGAGACACAGGCAGAGGGAGAAGCAGGCTCCATGCACCGGGAGCCCGACGTGGGATTCGATCCCGGGTCTCCAGGATCGCGCCCTGGGCCAAAGGCAGGCGCCAAACCGCTGCGCCACCCAGGGATCCCGACACATTCTGTCTTAATATTAAGATACATAATTAACTTCATAACATTATAATTTAAGTTTCCTCTTACTTCTTACAGACCTAGATCTTTAAATATTTAAGTACCAGACTTTTTGGATTAAGGTTTGTATTGTTTGCATTTAATACAGTGCTTAGTATATTAATACTCAATACATTTGCTAAATAAAGAAATTCAGAAGTAGGAAATAGCCACAAAATATCAAAATAGTAAAACATTTTATAACTATACTGCTGAAGTTTTCATGATCTTCCAGAATATATTTATGGTCAGAAACATCTACGTAGGGACACGTAGGTGGCTCAGTGGTTGAGCATCTCCCTTCAGCTCAGGGTGTGATCCCAGAATCCCAGGATCAAGTCCTGCATCAGGCTCCCTGCAGGAAGCCTGCTTCTCCCTCTGCCTATGTCTCTGCCTCTCTCTGTCTCTCATGAATAAATAAATCTAAAAAAAAAAAAAAAGAAAGAAATCTATGTATTTATTGACAAAGTTATCATGACCAAAATCTGAAAGAAAAGCTTCCTATAAGAAATATTTTTAAACTTAATTGTTTTATATCAAATATTGGCTACATAAAATCCCATTTACATTAGAAAAAAATCACATAACATTTTTGTATTTCTGTGTTTTAGTTAGCAAAAATATATTAAGACAATGCCACAAATTGATCAGAATTTCTTCTCTCATGAAGTGCAGATAAAGTAATTCTGGATAATCTGGAAAATACTACTTAAAATTTAGAGTTCTGATAATTTGTGGGTAAATACCATAATCCTGAATTATTCAAATACAAACAGTGTATTCACCATGTTATTCCCTAGGTATTAACAGGTTATCCAATTTGCATTTTATTTTTTATTCTTTTTGCATTTTATTTTTTAGTGCTCCCAAGTAACATAACAGAAAGGAAAACCCAACCTAGCAAGAAATCAATACTGCAAGCAAAATTCTTCTCTACAATTAGCACTAATTTTCTTAGATTACACCAAATTGTTATTATAAAACTAAGAGAAGTTAGTAATATTTTGGAGGTCATAAGATATTGTCTCTTTGGTTCAAAAATTGTTCCTAGGCATCTAAATCCTATGTGCTTTGGCTGGCACCTCAAAGCCATAATGATAAAAATAGAATTCTTTCAAATTGTTCTTCCATTCACTTGAGATTACAACCTGAAAGTCATCTTTAATTTGTCTCTTTCATTGTTTATATTGGTCAGTTATTAACTAGCCCAGTCAATTTCTTTTTTCCTGTTTCTACAATGCATTATTTCTTTTCTCTTGGTTACTGCCCTGTTCAGACCTTCCATTCATGCCTGAAGTAGGATAATGGGCTCCTACATGTTCCCAGACACTCCTTTATACCAACAACAGTTTTAAGACTTATAGAGGGTGAGGGCTTCCTAGAGAAATCAGCCCTGCTCTGCCTCAACTGAAATCATCAGCCGCGCACAGCCCTGGGAGGCGGCTGGGTTTACTGCACAGATGGGCCCACCAAGACTGGTAGAGGTTATTCGGTTCCTGCCCCAATAAACCAAGTCTTGATTCCCAAACATACTGCAGTGTGGACCCACTAGATTCCTTCCAGAGATTTCTGTACCTCTGGGTTCTGGGTGTATATTTGGATTCACCTACACAGCTAAGTCCATCTGGTTTGATACCCTTGCTACTCAAAGCATAACTGGCAAAACTGAGAGTTCAGGCCACCTTACCCTACACAGAATCTGCATTTCAACAAGATCCCCAGGTGACCTGTCTGAACACTTCAGCTTTCTGGTATTCTCTAACAAGAACCTTCAACTCTAGTTATACTACTGGTTTCATAAATACACCATTTCTGCCTTTATGCTTTTGTTTTTATTCTCGTATCTGTAATTCCTTCTCTTTTCCTCAAACATGGACAAATCTTAGCCAGCTCAGGATTCTATCACCTCCACAATTTTCTCTAAAATTAAAGTCCACACTGATCTTAACATCCTCAAATCTTAAACTTTTAGTCATTACCACACACTTTCAATTATTTAGTTTTATTTTTTTTATTAAATTTTTTTATTTATTTATGATAGAGAGAGAGAGAGAGAGGCAGAGACATAGGCAGAGGGAGAGGCAGGCTCCATGCACCGGGAGCCTGACGTGGGATTCGATTCCGGGTCTCCAGGATCGTGCCCTGGGCCAAAGGCAGGCGCTAAACTGCTGCGCCACCCAGGGATCCCTCAATTATTTAGTTTTATACAAAATGTTAAAGTTTTAGTTTTGTATTCCCAAACACTCAGGGTCCTGGAAGGCAAACCATGGTTTCCTTTTCTTCGGTATCCTCCATGGTGCTCAATCCAAAGCTAAATCCACAGCATTGATGCCCAGTAAAAATTCGTTAGCTGACCAATTTCAGTTACTTTTGAAATAATTTATCTTTCTAGGAAGACTAGATGCTCATACATGGATACATTAAAGCTACTCATTCAAGGCAAATTAAAAGATTACAGGACTTGGGCAGCCAAAGTGGCCCAGTGGTTTAGCGCCTGCCTTCAGCCCAGGGTGTGATCCTGGAGACCTGGGATTGAGTCCCCTGTCAGGCATCCTGCATGGAGCCTGCTCCTCCCTCTGCCTGTGTCTCTGCTTCTCTCTCTCTCTCTGTCTCTCAATAATAAATGAATAAAATCTTAAAAAAAAAAAAAAGATTACAGGACTTGAGGAATTACGACATTAAGAATACATTAATAGTCATTCAATTTTGCCAGGTCTGGATACCATAAAATAAAAGTGTTACCTCTGGGTTTTCACTTAAATATATTTGTTTGGATATGTTGTTTATTGTACAGATCCACTGCAAGAGAAAAAAAATAGAAAAATATGATTAATACTTTTCCTATAGTGCTTCTGTTCTAAAAGAGAATGTTCAATATTTCACTGAATAGAAGTTTCATTAGTACTACATAATTGGGGAACCCAGGTGGCTCATTCAGTTAAGCATCTGACTCCTGATACCACTTTAGGTCATGATCTCAGGGTTATGAGATCGAACCCTACATCAAATGTGGAACCTGTCATCAAAAAAAAAAAAAAAATGTGGAACCTGCTTGGGATTCTTTTTCTCCCTCTGCCTCTCTCACTCTGCCCTAACCTCCCGACTCGTGCTAGTGCTCTAAAACAAAAAACAAAAAAACCCCACAACTCTAAAAAAAGAAGTAACACAATCATTCTTATAAGAAAAATACTTTCCTATATACACATAAGCATATATATGCTTAATATTTAAAAGTGTAACAGAAAAGTGAATAGCTTTACTATTTTTAAAGCCTAAGGGGCACCTGGGTGGCTCAGTGGGTTAAGCATCTGCCTTCAGCTCAGGTCATGATCCCAGTGTCCTGGGATCAAGCCCCGCATCAGGCTCCCTGTTCAGTGGGGAGTCTGTGTTCCCCTCTTCCTCTGCCCCTCCCTCCACATGTGCTCTTTCAAATAAAATCTTAAAAAAAAAAAAAGCTCAAATTAACTTCATACAAGCAAATAAAAATATAGCAATAATGTTAAGTTATAATATTAACAGTCTATATTTATCTTTTATATAATTTCCCCTCTTAATCCCCACCAAATTAGTGGTGATAGTCTGGACTCAGATTCATGATTAACACCAACGCAAAAAAGTTAAGAGCTAAATATATTCCTAATGAATGCATTTTACATACTTCCCTTCTTTCAGGTTTATAACTAATTAACATAAAAAGTGCTCTCTGTTCCACATCTACTTCACTCTTGAGGACTCCAGTTCATGATGAGACTCATTAAACTAATAATCTGTTTTGGTAAACCCAGCAGAGAGTAAATATTTATCTGTGTTCTTCACAAACCAAAAGCAAGTTGTAGTACCCACTCTCTTCCAGAAGTAAATAAAAATAGATCTCTCTGTAATTTCTAACATCGTCTTTTACCAACATAGTTATAATACCAGATGAAGTGATTCAAAATCAATTATAATATATTTTCATTCAAAAATGCTTCTCATGACAGTTTTTGAAGCGTCAGTTCAGTGGTAACTTACCTTCCATATTTGGTGTACTAGAAGTAAAAATGGAGCCAAAAATAAAAGACTTGTGAGGAAGAATAGACACTCCCAAATTTTTGTTTTTCTGTCTTTCATTTCTCCAAGGTTTTAAGCTTTACTTGCTTCCTGCCATGCTACATCTGCTGCCACTATGTTCTTACGGTGCAAATACGGTCTCAGAGTTGGTGAGAGAAGCAATAAATTAAACTGTCACCTCATGATACTAAAAGCTTGCCAGAAAGCAGTGGTCACAAGGTCATTTCTGAAGTTGAGCCTTTAAAAAGACAGACAGCAATGATCTCTAAAGCCTCCTCTTATAGGTCTAGCTATAAAAGTCTGTGTGAAACTTAAAAAGGCTGCTTGAGGACAATAGAGTTTTATGAAAAAAAAATGTTTTTAATTAACTAGGATTTTCCAAATTTCTATCTTAATATTTAGTTGCTAAAATATCTTAAGATGTTGCTGAGGAAATTAACTAGATAAAATTTTACCTCCTCATGGTCTTTTTTACTTTCTGCTTGCAAAATTGAAGACCTGAAAAAAAAGAAAGAAGTCTGACCCTCAACTTAAAGAAAAAAATAAGAAAATTTTTTATCTTTAAAGGTACATATAAAACCAATCAGTATCAAAACTAAAAAAAACTCAAAACACACAACCAATCAATATCTTAAGTTAGGAAAAGGAGACCACCTGGGGCATCTGGACTCAGATTTTAACAACTCTTGACTCTGGCTATCCATGCCAAGATGTACCAAAAAAGAAACAGGTGCTGGTTTTCAGAAGACAGCCTATAACAAAGGTATACTGCAAATAAGACAATGCATTTCAACTTTCTGACACTTATCATATGTTTCAAATGTAAATCAGCGATGCTCACAGAAAACACTAATTGTACTTATTATTTCTCCATAATACAGTAAAACATTTTCAATATATTAATTACTAATACTGAGATACTTAGCTTTTCTATAGCTGTTACTATCTTAAGAGTTAAAGAAAAAAATTACTAATTCTGAATCACACTAAGAATGTGAAATGGGAAATCATGTTAAGCATTATTAGCAATAAACTTAAAAAAAAAAAAAGTTCCTGGAGTAACATATTAACAATTTGGTAATTTTGATGAACACAGGGACTCCCAACATCCAGCATTATAAATGACAGTCACTGACATTCATTACATATTTAAAGGAGGAATATGAAATTAAACAACTATTTGATAAAAGAGAACCATACATCTTAACATACATAAATACAAAGGAAAAATTACTAAGAACTCAGAAGCTGCTTCTGAACAGTAAGCAAAATCAAAAACAGTATTTTAAGTAAGAAAAAAAACTACAGATAACTTAAACATCTATCATTAGGAAAAACTTTATGGTGTATATCCTTAGATGGATTAATATAGCCATTGTGAAATGTTTTTAATAAGTAGCTGTAGATCCAAAGTACGTATACAGTATCTCTTCATCTTTAAAAAATTGTCAGGAACATGGAAGACTCCTAACTCTGGGAAACGAACTAAGGGTGGTGGAAGGGGAGGAGGGCGGGGGGTGGGGGTGACTGGGTGGCGGGCACTGAGGGGGGCACTTGACGGGGTGAGCACTGGGTGTTATTCTGTATGTTGGCAAATTGAACACCAATAAAAAATAAATTTATTATTAAAAATTAGTAATAAAATAAAATAAAAATTGTCAGAATTTTTAATATTTATAGCATATTTTAAAGAATATTTAAATATATTTAAATTTTAAAGAATAGTTAAAATAAAAACTGTAAGGCAACAAACCAAAACGTTAACTGTTGTTTCTAGCTAATGAGATTATAGCTTTCTTTCAATATTCAATGCTTTTTTATATTTTTCTGTCTTCCAAAAATTTGTTCTAAAGGCTACTCTGGATTCTCATAAGATGCAAAGGTAACAGAAGTTTTAAAAATGGCATATAAATTAATGGACTAATCATTAACTTCATCAGAAATATTTAACATTTAAAAATAACATTCACTAATGTTTGCACTTACTACACGTTAGGCACATTACATCTGTTAGATTTCTATTCTGTATAATAATTCACAAAGTAGGGATTATGACCTTCCCATCCCCATTTCACATGTGAAAAAACAGAGGTTATGTAATTTGTCTAAGACACACAGTAAATAGTAGATCCTGAATTTAAATTTTCTGACCCCAAGGTTAGGGCTGTTTCCACTACCTTGTGCTGCCGTCCCCCATACAATGCAGAATTTTCAGTGAACAGTACCCTAACACGGAATCACAGGTTCTTACCATATGACCTTATTTTGACAACCTCAAAACAGTAAGGCATCTTTTAACCAAATCAGAAAGGAAAACTCATTCCTATGCAATCAGAAAGAAAATTATCTAAATACATAATAAGCCTAAAATAACTATAAAATATCTGAATGACAAGGAATTATTATGCATTTCAGTAGTTTAAAATATGACAAAATACTAACTTTTTTCCATCAAAGGAAGTGATCTGAAAACAGTACCGCCTGTCTTCACAGTCCACAGCCATTACTGAACAGTTGTCAATGTCCATGGCCAGGCCGCCTGCTACATCCCCACGCGCCTGACTCATTAAGTTTCCACCCTGCGTGAAGTAAAATTGTCTGTCCCAGGTAGATGACACCAAGCCTGTTTTACTAAATGAAGAAAGTACATTTGCTCTTAGTAACAATACACCTGAAATCTCATCATAAGCCAGACACAAGATAAAACAAAGAAGCAGCTGCAAAAAGGCACCAAGGTGCCTAGAAAATAAAAATATCAGTTTTTCAGTATCTAAAATAAATTCATGTATGCCAACCCATTTTTGTGTGTACATGTGTTCCCAAAAAAGGTTGGAAGTTGTAATTGTTACAATGACGTTCCATAAATTATAGTTCAACTTTCAAGAGAATAAGTTCAAAAGAAAAGAATTCATTTTACTCCTAGGGTTAACTTGCTTTATCCTATGTTTATGTAAAAACTAAAAGTTGACCTGATAGTATAATTACATGTATTTATGTAATACGTACATATTACATATATTTTAGAGTATGATAAAAATATTTAATTCATGTAATGCTCAATTTACTTAAACTCAGATTGGTTCCATTTTTAATATAATTCTAAATTATTCAATAAGTAAACAGAATTCTACTTCCAAAAATTATTCATGTACCCCATCTGTCAAAAAGCTGACAAACATGCTAATACTTCTAATTAAAAAGATTCAGCCTTTCATAAAATCAAAATAATTTAGCAGATAATATTAATTATATATTATATTCACTTGATAATACCTTAGAAGATATTACAATATATGAAAATAACTATAGTTTTCTTACTTCCTAGCATTAAGGTATCCAGCCTTCCGGGTTAAGTTTCGATTAACAGGAAATTTTGTGGGATCTGGGTCAGGCACATATAAGGGGTCACTGGCTACTTCCAAATCTTCTATTGTCTGCTGCATGGTCTCTACATCACTGTCCATTTCCCTGCGAACACTAACACAGAAAATATATTATTTACTACCCAACCACAACTGATGAAGAACTCCTTACCAATTATGTTCATCTGTAACATTTGCTTTGTATATATTTTCTTAAAGAGAGTAGAGGGGGTGTGGGTGGTTAAAGTAACATTAACGCATTATGAAACAGCTTTACATTTTATCTGAAACTTAGCTATTAAACAACACTAAATTAAAAAATTAATGAAGCGGGGATCCCTGGGTGGCGCAGCGGTTTGGCGCCTGCCTTTGGCCCAGGGCGCGATCCTGGAGACGCAGGATCGAATCCCACATCGGGCTCCCGGTGCATGGAGCCTCCTTCTCCCTCTGCCTATGTCTCTGCGTCTCTCTCTCTCTCTCTCTCTCTCTCTCTCTCTCTATCATAAATAAATAAAAATTAAAAAAAATTTAATGAAGCCACATCAAATGCCTAACTTTGGAGTAATTTTCAAACTGCTCTATCCTGTGCCTTTAAAACAACAATCATTTTAATATACTTGCAAATCTCAGATTGACTATATCACTGCTCCCAACTTTGAACCTGATTAGAACTGCTTGCTCTCACTAAGCTTTCTTTCATGGCTTGGAAAGCAAGATTTATTTAGTAATTCCCATTCATCCCCCATGCTTCAGCTAATTGTGAAGACAAATTAACTTATAAATAATTACTACTTTGTGTCATATATTCAAACACAAAACCTAGTTTAGAATCAATAAAATACCATCAGACATGACAGAGTTATGAAATTCAGAGTTCAGATTCCGTGGAAGAGATGGTAAAAAAAACAAGTAGTATCCATGAGCCATGTGAGACACACTCTCATGGCAGGGAAAATAGCCCCTCAGGAAATTAAATACTAAATATTTTTAGATTGTGGCACTTAGCCGTTAACTTATTCTCATAACTTCATTTTCAATTTTAAGGAAGAAAAAATACTCACTTCTGTACACTTGTTCCAATATTGGTCAAGAATTCTTCCAGCTGTTCATTAAGATTTTCAGAACCCATCTTAAAGAAACTTATCTGGGGCAAGAGAGTATATGAGTAAGAGGATGAACAACAAAAACATACACATACAAAAAACAGTGAATCACATAAATAATCTCCAAGATACATGGCAAGGTAAAAAACAAAGGAGTATTCCCATTTGTGTACTAGTTTTCAATGACTTCTACTGGGCTTTAGAGCCACTGTAGAAACTAGACTTCAGTTTCACTATACATCTTTTTATGTAGTAATACACGCATATGATAAGCAATTTGTAAAATGGGAAAATTTAAAACATTTTAAATAAGTTATACAGATAAACTTTTGTTTACTACAAAGATAAATAAGTTTTATATTGAGGAATACTAAGCACTCATATTTGAAGGAATATTCAAATTTCTTTAAAAAATAAAATTTTTAGGGGCATGCCATCTCATATTACCGAAATCTACTTTTCTAGCTTTCTTTCTGATGCAAACCTCTTGGGATACTTTGGAGTTCATCTATTACTTTTAACTCAGGAACATGAGACAAACTTGCCCATTCTTTTTCAAACTTATTTTGAAGCAATAGTGAATGGACGTTCCAACAATAGGAGTAACTCCAGAATTCATTTAGCTTTCTTTTCCCTATCCCCTACCTGTGATGGACAAGGCCTTAATACAAGGTAGGTGGTTTCATTTACCCTAAAAAATGTGAGATCTTCATTTGTGAGGAAAACCATTCTACCTTCTAATGACATTTTAAATTACTTTTAAAAACACAGATCCAAATAGAATATTTTGACCTTAATTTGTAATACTTAACATAAATATCAAACTTAATATGAAGTTTTTAGGGCAGTTATAATCCACAATGAAGTACAGTCAGTATTTACCTGAGCTTGCATGTACCCAAGTAGAGGTTCTAACAATGCTATTTTCTTTTTGTATTGAAGAGTGTTTAATGCACAAAAATAATGCATCATGGTCTGATGTTGTTTTTTTCTGGAAGTGTAGACATCTTCTGTTACTTCATACTTTACCTTTGAATAAAAACATTAAAATATGTATTTAACTGTGTAATTATCTTTAATTAGCTTTAGTAGTGGCTATAGGGAAGAGCCTACCCAAGGAAAAAGGTATATCACCAGCAACTATTCATCTTTATTTTGTGAGATAGTAGAAATCCTATATTATGGCTAATTTTACTGTCTTACTACCAACCACTCCATCTTCAAATGCACATTTAAAGCAGAACTCTGCACATGGCTAAGAATGTTACAATAACTAAACTAGTGTGGTGGAGTCTGCCACACAGAGGAAAGGCAGACAGTGGTTTGCTATTAGCTCAGTCATTAGTCTTTGATCTTGGTCAGTTCACAGCATACTCTCTTCCAGTTCTCTCCTTGCTACTCCTCCTCTCTTGTACTTGTTTTCCTTCACTCACAATTAAAATATGTGTGCTCCTTTAAGTTCTTGAATTCAGACAAATATTTACTGAGCACTTATTATGTAATATACATCAGGCCATTCCCTCTTTTTGCTCTCCTTAGAATACCAAATCAAGTACTAAGAATATTCCAATACACCAAGGAGTCCCAAATTTTCATCTCTTGCCCTTCACTCTCCTAAGTGTCAGAAGAAGCACATTTCCACCTGGGGTCTTTATGTGTGTGTGTGTGCGCACGTGAACACGTGTGTGTAAATGTGCTGGACATGGACAAAACTGAATATAGTTATCTTCCCCACAAAGCCTGTTCCTCTGTTTCTTAGCTCTCTTAAGTATTCCAAAACCTACCCCATCATTCAAGAATCATAAGACTTCTTTTGGATTCCTCCTCCTACCTATAAATCTTGTCAATTCTACTTAAAAAATATCTTCCAAAAGTTTTCCTTCCTCCCCCCCTTTTAACAACTACCTTGGCTGAGGTTCTCCTAATGTCTTTACAAACTATTCTGGTACCTTTAGTCCTGCCCTTCACATTCCATTAGTATTTTTATCCTGTAACACTACTGTATGGTGTTACCTACTTATAATCCTTTAAATAGAATTCTTTTAAGCAGGCTGTCCACTCTAACTCAAGTTTTAAAGTCATAATATAGTAATCTGGCCCCTAATACATCCTATGGTCCAGACACACACCATTATCATAATAATTATTGCTAGAATTTAAGGATAACTTGCTACAAGCCAGGTACCCTGCATGTATTACCCCCATTTCATCATTACAACTACTGAGGTTTTTTTTGATAGAGAAATAAAGGCTTGAAATTAAATAACTGGAGTGTGACCTCAGGCAAATACATGGCAAAGCTTTGTCCTCAAGCAGTCTGACTCCAGAACCAGTGCTCCTAAGCTCTGCATTCTCTGGACTCTGCCATGTGCTTCTGCAAAGGCTATTTTTCTTCTAGGAATGCCTTCGCCCCAATCCCATGCCAGTGACCCTCACTCATTTTTTTTTAATTTTTATTTATTTATGATAGTCATACAGAGAGAGAGAGAGAGAGAGAGAGAGAGAGAGAGGCAGAGACATAGGCAGAGGGAGAAGCAGGCTCCATGCACCGGGAGCCCGACGGGGGATTCAATCCCGGGTCTCCAGGATCGTGCCCTGGGCCAAAGGCAGGCGCCAAACCGCTGCGCCACCCAGGGATCCCCCCCCTCACTCATTTTTAATGCAAACAGCATCTCCTAAAAAGTACAGCCTTTCCCAATTCCCCAGTGTTAACCGCTGTTCTTTCCTAGCATTTTGTTAAGACTTTTATTATTGTACTTAGTATTTATACATGTGTTCTCTTCATCATTTACTCTGGCATCTAGTCCAGCTGCATACCTTCACATAGGAAGCCTTCGATAAGTATGTATGGTTCAATCACTGAAGGTGGGAGTGGAGCCTATTCACACTATTGCCCCTGGTACATGACATATAGCAGATGCTCAAAATTTTTTCAAATAAAACAAAGTTGGTAAAACAATGTTTTTTAGGGGCGCCTGAGTGACTCAATGGTTGAGGGTCTGCCTTTGGCTCAAGGTGTGATCCTGGGGTCCTGGGATTGAGTCCCACATCAGGCTTGCTGCAAGGAGCCTGCTTCTCCTTCTGTCTATGTCTCTGCATCTCTGTGTTTCTCATGAATAAATAAATAAATTAAATCTTTAAAAAAATGTTTTTTTAAACTATCTGAAATAACAAAAACAACAAATTTATTCCTAGACCCTTTAACTACTTCTCTAAGGCAAGTAACAAAGTAATGTAGATCTCAAAATGTACATATTTTATCAATATTTGCACCACTAATTATCAGTGAAATTAGAAATGGAAAGCTCTCTGTACTGAACTCTGTGAGAAACTTTCCCTTTACTATGTCACAGTAGGTGTTGCATAGTAAATTGTACCCAGTTGTGGATTCCCACAAGTGATCCCTGTGTACCTACCAGCAGCTGCAGCCAAGGCCACAGACACCAGCAGAGACTACCTCACTCACAAACCCCTAATGGAGGTCTTGTTATCAAGCCTTGGATTAGGCACTGAGAAAGAAGTGACCTTTAAGGAGCATCTAGATGAACTTGTTAATATTTTGTTCTTTGTTCTTTGCTCAAATGCATTTCTCCTGAAATACAGTGAAATACATCGGGATATCACTCCCTGAAGAAGTATCAAAAACTATATATATATTCCCTGTAAATGAGGAGGTCCTCATAACAGAATTTCATTCAATTATGTATGCAACAATTCAACTTTCTAACCACTTTATCTCAAAAGACACTTCTGAATACATAGTCAAAAACAGAACACATGCAATGTTATCAAAACACAAAGCAAAAGGAAGCAATGTTATACAATGGGCATCAGTTATATTTTTGGAATAGTTCTGTCTATCAAATTTTGTCAGAAAAATATTTTATTCTATTCAAAGAGATTTATTAATTGATAATTATCAGAAAGGCTTTGAAACAACTAGAAGGAAAGAATAAACTAAAGGCAATGTAACAAAACATACAAAGTAACTGCAGGCTGCTATTTTTAAACAGGAAAAAACTAGTGAAAAAAAATCTAATGAAACAATTAATTTTGATACTGAAGGAGTAAGTATGTATCACACCTTGTCATTTTCTCTTTTTTTTGATAACCGGCTATATCTGTTAATTGCAGCATCATGGTCTGAAAAAAAAAATAACTATTAACAACAATACAACAGTACTTTGCACAACTTATAAATGCTTTAAATAGTATTCACAGGTACATATTCCAACAAATAAATGCTAAAGCAAGAATTCTCAAAATAAAATAAGAATTCTTTACCATACATATCACTCCAAATGTTCCCAGAGTCAAATTTCCCACCAAGGATCTTTCTACTTATTAAATTGGTAAAAAAAAAAAAAAATTCTAAGGAGACTCTACTCCGCTAAAAGTTTTTAAAAGTATTTTTTAGTACAAAAGTAGCAAACGCTCATTAAAGAAAATTTTTGAATATATAGGAAAACAAGGAAGGGAAAATATTGTATCAACTTCTAAAGTATTATTAAGACAGCAAACCACAAGATTTTAGTTTCCTTTTAAATTTTTCTTGTAGCCCAAAGAGTGCACCTTAAATAACAGCACTGTTTTACATAACGTTCACTCATTTTTAATTAGGTTCCTTTTTTTTTCAATTATTACATAGAATATAGCCACAGATTTGTATTCATAAAGAAATGCACCACTCTGAAAAATAACTGTAAAGTATTCAGAACTTACCATTACTAGCAATCTGAAACACTTCCTTTAATGTCAGTATTTCTGGAAAAATTTAGGAATAGTTTCAATTTAGCATATTTATGAAATATCTAAAATTTTGTTTAGAAAACAGTAACTGCCACTTAAGCTATAATTCAAATTCCAAATATTTCATACTTGAACATCCAAAGTGAGAAGGTTATTCTGTATTTCAGGTAGTCTGTGGAACATTCACTATCCTTAGCAACAGTTACATCACCAGATCTACTTGCCATAAATTAGTTATATGACAAAAAAATTTTAAAATAATTGCAAATTCTAAGACATGCAAATATTCTTAGTACGAGCATCCAGCTTATTAATTCATTTTTGATATTGACTTTAATGAGTTCAAATGATGAATCTGAGAAACAAAGAATTAACAAGACATGACATTCAGACTGAGAACTTGTTTCTTAACCTTAGAAATGACCATTATTAAGTATTACCATAAATATTAACTCCATCTCTAAAATACATTTGTCTTTATTCCATGCATGATTTAAATACTTTACCATCCACTGATACATTAGTTCAATGTTTTTATTCTATCTACATACTCTACAAGTCTTTATGACTGAGACTGTAAATTATGAGAAAGCAGAGCCAATTCTATAAAACTCTCATTTTATCACCTAATAATCCTAAATGGGGAAAAAAATCCACCACAAACTACTAAGTCATGGGCTGCCAGATGTGCCAGTACCCCTACCTCCTGCCACTGCAGCCCATAAGCACACCCCCTATGCCACTGTCAAAGGTCAGGCTTTGGTCATAACTCATTGGGCTCTCACAACTGCCTAATCTGTTTTCCTGGATATCAAATCCACTCTATTCCATCTTCCAAAAACAAAGGAATTAGGTCTACTTTTTAAGGGCCTCCACTGGCCTCCACTTTCTCTTTGCTTACAAATTCAAGTCCAACATCTTCAGCATGATCTATTTCTAGATTTGTCTCCTGTCACACCCCAACACATCAAGCCACACTGTTTTTCATCAACCACAAAATAAGACGTATATTTCTATAACCCATACCTTTGTGCTTTCTAGTCCCTCTAATAGAACAATGACTTTCTTCTCCTGGCAAATGCCTCTTCTTTGTTCAATGCTCATGTCACATCCTTGGCGATACCTTTCTGACACCCTCCTCTGAGGCCCCACGTTACCTAGTTCATTCCCTAATTATAAGAGATAGAATATCGTAATTATCTATTTTACCTATCTCCTTCTCTAGGCTTTCTCGAGAGAAGTGACACTGTATTCATATCAGTATTCTATATCTAGTTTAACATCTAGCAGGAGCTCCTATAAATATCCAGTGACACATTACAGTGGTACAAGCTGTATTCAGAAATGGTTAGGGTATACAGCAACATGCACTTTACAAGTATTGATCTGACAGCTAATGAAAGTAAACATAAACTTGACTTCATTACCTTTCAGATCTCTTTCTTTAAATTGGGTAATTGGGAACATCATGGCATCAGCAAGCTGCGTTGAAAGTACTGCATGACAAGAGCTAAGCTAGTAAAAGGAAGACCAAAAAGGGTGAATAAATAACTATACAGAAACATTTAGCCAGTGTTATGAAAATTAAAAATGTAATAAACAGATGTTGATACATTTTACATAAGCAAACACTCAAAATCATGTGATATACTACAAAATATTACATAGTAAAAAGAAATCTATTTAAAATTCTTAGGAAAGAGGTGCCTGTATAGCTCTGTGGTTGAGCATCTGCCTTTGGCTCACGTCGTGATCCCAGGGTCCTAGGACTGAGATCCTGGGATCAAGTCTCAAGTCAGGCACCCTGCAGGGAGCCTGCTTCTCCCTCTGCCTATGTCTCTGCCTCTCTCTGCATGTCTATGATGAATAGATAAATAAAATCTTTAAACAAAATAAAAATAATAAATAAAATTCTTAGGAAAAAACATAGGATAACCTAGGATTTGGCAATGGTTTCTTACATATGACACCAAAAGCACAAACAACAAAAGAAAATACAAATTGGATTTCATCAAAATTAAAAACTTTGTGCAAAGGATTAATCAAGAAAGTAAAAACACAACCTGCAGAAAGGGAGAAAATATTTGCTAATCACATATCTGATAAAGAACTTGGATCTAGAATAAAGAAGTCCTGGGTGCTTGGGTAGCTCAGTTGGTTAAATGTCTGTCTTAGGCGCAGGTCATGATCTCAAGGTCCTAGGACTGAGCCCCACATTGGGCTTCCTGCTCAGTGAGGAGTCTGCTTCTCCCTCTCCCTCTGCCCCTCCCCACCCTGCTTGTGCACTCTGTCTCTCAAATAAATAAATAGTCTTTCAAATAAAGAAGTCTTAAACTCAGTAATGAAAGATAAACCACCCAATTAAAAAAAATGGGCAAAGGTCTGAATCAAGTACTCCCCCTCACCCCTTAGCACAGTGCTGCCTTCTGGAGTTTCAGTTACCCAAGGTCAGACACAGTCTTGAGGCAGATGATCCTCCTTCTGACAGAGTGTCAGAAGTCCAACAGGAGCCTGACACTACATCACAGTGCCTCCGTCATTCCCCTCACTTCATCTCATCATGAAGGCCTTTTATCATCTCACATCATCACAAGAAGGAAAGTACAGCACAATATGACATTTTGAGAGAGAGACATCACATTCACAAAACTTTTATTACGGTATAATGTTACAATTCTATTTTATTAGTATTCTCTCATTCCATTAGTTTTACTGTGCCTAATTTGTAAATTAATCTTTATCACATGTATGTATATATAGGAAAACACAGAATATATATATAGGGTTCCATACTCTCCATGGTTTCAGGCAACCACTTGGGGGGGAGGTCAATGCATGGGAGCACAGGGGAGACTATCACAGACATTTCTTCAAAGATATATAAATGGCCAATAAGCATAGAAAAAGGTGCTCAACATCATTAGTCATCAAGAAAATGCACATTAAAAACTGCAATGTGCTACCACTTCATACCTCCTAAGATGGTTATAAAAATATAAATGAAAAAACAGTTAAGTGTTGGGGAGAATGTGGAGAAACTAGAACCCTACATTACTGCTGGGAATGTAAAAGCGTATAGAAGCTGTGGAAAAGTCTGGCAGTTCCTCAAAAAACTAAACATAAAATTACCATGTGACCCAGCAATCCCACTGATTATATACCCAAAAGAATTGAAAATTGGTGTTCAAAAAAAAAAACCTTGTACACAAATGCTCACTGTAGCACTACTAGCCAAAAGGTAGAAAACAACTCAAATATCCCTCAACTATGAATGGATAAATGAAAGGTGGTATATTCATACAATGGAATTTTATTCACCCAAATAAGGAATGAAACTGATTCATGCTACAACACAGATAAACCTTGAAAACATTATGCTCAGTAAAAAAAGACGGATACAAAATCCACAAATTACATAAGTCCATTTATATGAAATATCCAAAACATGTAAATCCATACAAGAAAGTAGATTTGTGGTTGCCAGGAGCTGAAGGGAGATGAAGTAGGGAGTGATTGCTTAATGGGCACAAGGTTTCCTTTGGGATGATGATGCAAATGTTCTGGAACATCAGTGGTGATGATCACACAATACTGTGAGTGTTTAAATGTAACCAAGGGTACATTTTATGTTATGTATATTTTACCGCAATAAAAATATTCCATCTCTTAGAAATACTTCTTTATATTGGTCTACTGTGACAATATTTTGCAACAATAAAGTTATTAGAATATTTCAAAAAATTATTTTCAGTTAGGAGACTAGAAAAGACCGAACTATCTAATGGTTCCTGTAAAAAGAGCTTTCATCGCACCAGCTAAGAATAGTTATGGACTCCCCAAACAGCTCTTACCACCCTTCTTCCTCCTAGCAATATTTTATCATTCAGTTTATTAATCCTTCCATCCTAGACAGCCAATATCAGCCCTTAGTTTCTCTAACTAGTCATCACAGCAAAGCATTAAAAAAAGACCTGGAACTTAGTTATATCTCATAGTTTAATTCTTCTCTCCTTGCCTACATCAAATAAAACAGTGAAAGGTTGAGTATGTCATAAACTGGGAGGAGAAAGAGTACATGTCTATGCTTATCCCTCCCAAAAATTTGTTTTAATCGACAAAATACTATTTTTATGAGACAGTCACTAAGATATGAGACAGACACTAATATGGAAGATCCTCCTTTAAACAGTAATCTTACAGAGATTTGCTCATGTAATCATAATAATACAAGTTCCCAATAAAAGCTAAACAACTTGAATAACTTAATTATAAGACCATTTACTCAAGCAAAATAAGCACTTACCTCATCTATAACTTTTGAAAACTGCTGTAAAGTGGAGCTCATAACTTCATCATCACCCCCCAATGGAAACCGCTGAAAAATGAGAAAGAGAGGACGTAAAGGTGCTGTATGTCTTTTGTAACTGATGTTATAATTTACATTTTTAAAAATAGCTGATCCTCAAACCAAACAGGAGTTAGAAAAATTGCATGAATATTAAAAAAATATGCATAAGTGGACCCATGTAGTACAAATCTGTGTTGTTCAAGGGTCAACTGAAACTTCAAATAACTTCCAAAATTTTGAATAAGCTCTAAAAATGTCATTTAATAAGAGTATAGTTTGCATAATTAATAAACATTAATTATAATGTTTGCTAAGCAACTAATTAATATCGTATATAGGGATGCACACCATAGTAGAAGTTTAAAGATTTGATGTTTAACTTTTTTTTTTTTAAGATTTTATTTATTTACTCAGGAGAGACAGAGACGGGGGGCGGGGGAGAGCACAGACACAGGAAGAGGGAGAAGCAGGCTCCATTCCATGCAGGGAGTCTGACATGGGACTCAAACCTGGGTCTCCAGGACCACACCCTGGGCTGAAGGCTGCGCTAAACCGCTGAGCCACCCGGGCTGCCCTGATGTTTGACTTTAATTCCTCCAATTACCATCTGTATAATTTTGAGTAAGCCTCAGTTTCTTCATTTGTAAAAAAGAAGCCAATGAAAAAACTTCTACTGAAGATTAAGTAATTAAAATTAGCAAAAAAATAAAAAATAAAAATAAAAAATAAATAAAATTAGCTACAATGGAATTTCAATAGCATATCAAAATTACTTTCTATAAATTCAAAAAAGCTTAGGATGCTTGATGAGAAATTCTATCTATACAGATACTGTATCACTGCATATTTTAAATTATGCTTTTAAAATTTTCATAAGTGATACCTGTTTTTCATATTCTTTTAAAAGTTTTGAAGTCAGGTGTGTTGCTGCACTTAATTCATTCTGTAGGGAAAAAAAAATCAGCATTCAAATTGACACAGTATTACTGAGTAAGAAACAGTTTTAGTTGAAGATAACATATATATCATACAACATGTTCTCTAAACCCCTCATTAAATCACTGGATAGGGAACTACCATTAAAGCACTTTAAAGGGAAACTCAAACCATGAAATAGATACCATCAAGGAATTCAGCAGTGTTCTAGGTGTACACTTTTTTCTTAGTTAATAAAAATTCAGCATCAAATATCATTAAAGCTTGAAAGCTAAAAGTAAACTGTACATAATCTTAGCAAAATCTTAAGAGATTCTACATTAATGACAAATTATTCCTCCCTCTAGATGCTAACTCTAGACCAATGCATTGAATAGCATACAACCAAGACAGCCCGGGTGGCTCAGTGGTTTAGCGCCTGCCTTTGGCCCAGGGTGTGATCCTGGAGACCCAGGATCAAGTCCTGTATCGGGCTCCCTGCATGGAGCCTGCTTCTCCCTCTACCCATGTCTCTGTCTCTCTGTGTGTCTCTCATGAATAAATAAATAAAATCTTAAAAAAAAAAAAAACAAAAAGGAATAACATACAACCAAAATATGGTTAGCCCAATCATAAAATACAGCAACATAGCCATATGAAGAAAATACTTTTTGAAGTTTTTTCAGTGATGAAAAATATATGTATTAGTATATTATATTATTATATTAGTGACAAATATAACATTTCTTTTACATAGTAATCTCTGTGGTCAGAAATCAAATCTTGAGAGACCAATCAAAAGGAAAAAAAAATTAAAAACTATCACAGCCACTTTAAAAAATTCATTTTAAAAAGACTATTTATTTAGAGAGAGAGTACACATTGAACACACATGGATGGGGGAGCAGCAGAGAGAATGAATCCCGAGCAGACTCCCAGCTGAGTGCAGAGCCAGATGCAGGGGCTTGATCTCATCATGACCCTGAGATGATAACCTGAGCCGAAAAATCAAGAGTTGGACACTTAAACTGACTTTGCCACCCAGGTACCCCTCACATCAACTTTTTAGTACATAATGAAAATGAGTCCAGAAAGGAGATAAAATGAGGAGGGGAAAAAAAAAAAAAAACCTGTATACTTAATTAATCCCAAAGAAAGCTTATCACAGAACCCAAGTTGCTGTTAAGGCTTATAATTAAGTCATATAAACATAGCCTCAAATCTTAAGCCTACTCAACAAAAAAATCTAGTCATCCCCTTCTTAAATCCATCTTCTAGTACCCAGAGTTACATCTAATTTTTATTATCTTCTCACTAAACATAAACGACTTTCAAATTCTTTATTCAAAAAGGGGGCAGTGTTCCGTAAGATTAAAAGCACAAGTAGGGAAAACACTGCTGACAATATGGGGTTTTCCATCAAATCTTAGGCAAAAATCACAATCAGTGAGCTTGAGTAAGAAAGCTTTTCCTGTGTTTGGGTGGAAAGGGGAAGATGCTTCAATCTTCATCTCTTTTGTAGAGCTACAAACTACACTCTATCAATTGGAATGTGAGCTATTACAAACTACTTAAAAGTTCATTCATACACTCAACAAATATTTATTACTATGAGCCCAGGATAGTGTAGGCACCAGTAACCAAGGCAGATGCTAGCTATATTGTCCTCATGGGCTTAAGGAGTCATTTTTAAAAAGCAGTCAGGCTTTAGGTTTTTACCTGTGCATCATAAATCCGATGCATAGCTTGATACAACTGGTTCATATAGTTGGAAATAGCTGTAGCATCTTCTTCAAATACACCCAGTAAAGACCTTGTCTGTATAAAATAAAAGCAATAGGTTTACATTAACCATTATATAAATCAAATAGAAAATTACTTTCTAAAGAAAGGAAAAATCCTAGGATACTGGAGCTCTAATAATTCTGAGTTTTAATCTATTTTCTCTCTTTTGATTGTAATGCCAAGATGTTGGGGTTCTTTGTTCTCAATTTCACTTCACTAAAATGGAGGGATTTTCCAACTACATCTCACGAAATTTATTTTTCTTTTAATTTGGCGGTGGGGTGGGGAGGGGGAGATGGAGCATGGAGAATCTTAAGCATGCTCCATCCCATGACACTGAGATCATGGCCTGAGACAAAATCAAGAGTTGGATGCTTGACTGAGTGAGCCACCCAGGTGCCCCCATCACATAAACTTTAGAAGGAACAACAAAGGTATATTTTTATGAATTAAAAAGCCTATAATTAAACTAAGATCAACAAAAACATCCACGGTTAAATTAACAGTATTCCTTATACAAATATTTTAAATGTCTTATTTCAGGATAACTCAATATTATTTTTTTCCATGGTCTCTTACAGCAGTGCCAAACCCCTTTTTACTCTAATCCAAATAATAACATAGTACCCAAAAAAAAAAAAAAAAAAAACATAGTACCCATCCCCAACATGGCCTAGTAAATGCTAAGTAGGATTTTATGAGTACAGAATTTGAGATTTTTTTTCTTCTTTATACTTACCTAAATTGTTATGTTGTTGTTTTTTTTTTTTAACACAATAAGCATTTCCTCTTAAGGGGGAAAATTTGTAAATAAATGTTAATACTATCAATAAAAAAGATCAGACATGAGAAAACTCAGCATATCAAGGCAAGATATACTCACCTTTTCACATCCCAAAGATAAAGAATTAAAATTTCAATAACTATTGAGATAACCGCATTTTAAAACCTAAAAGATGACCTTGTATTTTTATTCTAAAAATATTTCATTCTTAGAAGGTAGTTAAAAAAAAAAAGTCAACTTATTCCTTAGCTTCCTATTTTCAGAAAAGGAAGCTAAGTCAACACAGTTTAAAAAGGGTGGGGGAGGGGAGGCACAAAATCATTATGCCTGTGTATGAAGTCCATAGTGTCAGTCTTCTATTTCCCCATGCCCAAGATTTAGATCTGACAAAATCTTTTCATTCTTTAGCTCTGTGCCCCACTCCTATTCCCCACAGAGCTATTTTAGGTAGAAAAAGCAAGCCAAAAAATCTTGTTTGACTAGTGCCACTCTTAAGAAAAATCTGCCATTTCATTGTTTCCCCCAAATTAATATTCTAATTCAAGGAATTACACATTTATATAAAAACCTATCGTGGATTTAATTTAAAAAGACCTCCTTAGCGCCATAGGGTTAAAACCGGTTCTCTATTTAAAACTGGTATCTAAGGCAGCCCTGGTGGCTCAGCGGTTTAGGGCCACCTTCAGCCCAGGGCGTGATCCTGAGGACCCGGGATCAAGTCCCATTTCGGGCTCCCTGCATGGAGCCTGCTTCTCCCTCTGCCTGTGTCTCTGCCTCTCTCTCTCCTCTCTGTGCTTCTCATGAATAAATAAAATCTTCAAAAATAAATAAATAAATAAACAAACAAATAAATAAATAAATCTAGTATCTAGTTAGCACTCTATGAAAGTACATCAATATGGTCCCATTTCATTGAATCTCTGATGGCATCCACTGTGAGCTGCACCATTTTTTTAAAGATTTATTTGAGGGCAGCCCCAGTGGCGCAGCTAAGGTTTAGCGCCGCCTGTAGCCCAGGGTGTGATCCTGGAGACCCCAGATCGAGTCCCCCGTCAGGGTCCCTGCATGGAGCCTGCTTCTCTCTCTGCCTGTGTGTCTGCCTCTCTCTCTCTCTCTCTCTATGAATAAATAAATAAAATATTTTAAAAATATATGCATATTTATGAGTGGGAGGAGGGACAGAGGGAGAGAATCTTTAATCCACTTGAGTGTGGAGCCTGACTCAGAGTTTGATCCTATAACCCAGGAGATCACAACCTGAGCTGAAACTGAGTCAGATGCTTAACCAACCTGAGCCACCCAGGCACTCCCTGCACCATTTTTAAATACTTCTAAAACAAAACAATGCCAGCAATTAAGATATGATTTAGGTCTTGCAATTTTTACTTTATATTTGTGGAAATGGGCCTTTAGACAGAATTTTATATACAACTAATATGAACATAAAAGGAACACAAACAGCATAAATTTAATATACTCTTAACATTTCTTCAGAGTTCAATTCCTGTGAGTCACTTTTTGACAGAAGAATCATCAATATCCTTGTTTTCTCATCCAGTATTGTTCTGTGCCATGGGGGGTGACAAATGTTTCTTATAAGTGCTCCACTTTAGTCCCCAATATTTTCTTCCAAACCACCGATACCCACTCAACAAATGGTGATGGTGGTACCTGCTTCATTCCAGCAGGCGTCAAAGGAGTATTTTCAGACAACAAACAGGACTCAAGGTCATTCAAGTGGTTGTTAAACTGAGTTGGTCGAATGCTGAAAGGCTGCACTTGACCAGTCATACCACTAGGACAACCAACCATGAGTACACATTTGCAACCGAATCAAATCAAACATTATCAACTGTAAGGGGCACATATCTCACTATCAGACATGATAAAATGTGGAAAAAAAAAAAAAAGTATGTTTCATAATCTGAGAACATTCCATATTACATCAAAGAAGGAAGTCCTCAGCTGGAACTAGTTTCATCTTCATAGTTCTAGCATTGTTCAATTACTGATATTTATCTACACATAAAATCAATTATTTTTAAAAGATCGTATCTGTTCTTAACTAGAAAGTTTCATTTTGCTCCAGATCTCCAAAACAATACTTAAGTATGAACAAGACATCTAGCGTAGCCTTAAAGATTTTCTGTTTCAATAAATAACATAAGCTTTTGCAGAATGGGAGATAATTCTAAAGATGTTTATGTCCAATCAACTGGATTTGAACTTGCAAACTGCCATCTATTTTAATACCCAGTTACTATAAATCAAAACTAAAAATGGATAACCGCAACTTAGGATAGTCTTCCATGACCCCAGGCTCTACCTTTTTTACTCAGCACTGGCAGACCACTTCTGATTAGGATCTAATGATCTAAATAAAAACTTCTCTATACCAGGAACTTTAAAAGTTTTCATACGCTTTGCTACTCAACTTCCTGGACTCTATCCTAAATAAATATTCCAAATGAGGACAAAAATTTATGCCCCAAAGCATTAACCTCAGTCCTATATGTAAAAACAAAACTTATGAAAAACTTTAAGTCCAACAGTAGGACAGCTGTTAAGTCACATGAAAAAAAAGATGCAGCCTTTAAATTTTTTTATTCAGAATACATGAACATGCTTAACACTACAATGTTAAGTTAAAGCAGATTAAAAATTGTTATGCACAATATAACTTCAATTACATTAAAACATATAAAAGCAAATGAGGAAACACAAACACAGTTAACAGGGTTTGCTGCTGGGTGCAGGACAGGTAACTGTTTCCTGTACCTTCCAATTTTTCTTTCTTTCATGACTATGTCTTTTATAATCTTTTATAATAAAAATAAAAACATTCACTATAACAGCTGAGATTCCGAGAAGTTGAGTGACTTGTCCTAAAGTGAAGTGGCAGTGAAGACTAAAACCCTTATATCCTAAATCCCAGAATCCAGGGCTTTCCATCGTACCACAAGTTTTCCCTAAGTATTACTTCCAGGCATCTTCCCTTTTTTTTTTTAATTTAAAATATTTTATTTATTTATTCATGAGAGACACACAGAGAGAGGCAGAGGGATAAGTAGGCTACATGCAATAAGCCAGATGCAGGACTCAAATCCCGGCACTCCGGGATCTGCCCTGAGCCAAAGGCAGACACTCAACCACTGAACCACCCACCTGTCCCACGTCTTCCCTTTCTAAATCCCATTTATCCTAATTTTCCAAAGTACCTAGTTCAAGTTATCACTTAAAGAAACTGAAAGAGTATCAAGGCAGCTATTTCATTAAAAAATTACTATAAAACTGATACTAATATGGCACATACTTAATTAAAAAAAAAAGAATGCTCAATTTGTAAACTGTGTGAAAAGTTCAAGAAATTAGGTGAGTCACATTTTATCCTCCTCACAAGTCATGGCAAGGGCACCCATTGTGGCCTGCGTGTAAGATTTATGGGCTATAAAAACCAGGCCAGGTAAGAAAAGGTACAGCAACCTGTTGAGCCTTACATAATAAAAGTAAGATGACAAAGTGCACCTGACCAACACGTACCACAAAACCTTTACAAAACATCTGAAACAAATACATCTCCTAACTTTATACTTCAGATATCAATAAGAATTTGAACTAGCAAAAAAAAAAAAAAAAGAATTTGAACTAGCTATTCTGGCAGTCAAGATAAAGCAAGATGCGGGTTTCTCTCTGTCAGTTCAGGCTGATAAGAGTACATTACCAGCAAACAACTGGCCTGTGAAGATAACCTTCGGCATGGGGGGAAAAAAAAATCAATTCCACAATCAGAGCCCGACTTCCACTTGGCAATTAAAATTGGCACAAAGTCACAGCAGACGTGTCACACAGGCCAGGGGGGCCTAGCCCCTTCTTCCTCATCTTTTGGGGCCATATTAAACCGTCAGGACACGCGTGAAATGTATGCAATGGTAGTTGTGAATGCACACCATTTCAGAGCGGGCCAACCAGCAACCTGGTCCTAAATCGCTTAAATCACTTGTGTAGGTAGGAGACGGGCTTTGAGGATGAGGTCTCCCAACGCAAGTTACAGCGCCCTACCAACACGTAATTTTAAACGTAATTCATTTCGTTCTTCGATTATCGACACACGTTAACAAATCGCTAGGTTTGCCTGGACCGTCTCGGGGCTCCAGCGACCGCCTTAGCATTACCCCTCCCACCCCCCTCCCGAGCACAAAACACGGGGCTTTTATTTTGATGAGTTTATTAAGGGCCAAGTCTGCACCGCTCCGCGCAGCAGTTGGTCGTGCCGCCGCGAAGGCGCCGTCCGCCACCAGCCGCGCACAGCTCGAGCGACAGCGGCCACAGCCGCGGCCACGACGCGGGACACAGTCCGCGGGGAGGCTCCGAGGCACAGGACGGGCTTCGCCGAGGACTCTCCCCGCGGGTAAATCAGCAGCGTTCCTGCAACTCCTGAAGGAACACTACCCATTTCCTTCCCTAAGGGCTTGCTCAGGGGTCGTGGAATAGTCTACGGGGGGTGAGGGGGTGGGGTGTGGGGGTGCTGTTTTATTTTTCTATTTTTTTCCTCCTTCTGCATTTCCTCCGAAGAGATCCCAGGATCGGAATTTGCGACCTTAGATGACGGCGATGAAAACGCACCTTTCGTCAAATACAAGGGAGCCCCCGCGAACGTACGTGACCGCCGGGCCCACGAGCGCCGGCGGCGGAGCTTCGGCCGCCGCCCGCCGACGTCCCAGACCTCGCGGGTGGCTCTCTCGGCCCAGAGGCGCAGGCCCACGCGGGCCTCGGGCTGGCGGCCGGGCCGCGGCGACCCGGGGCGCGGCCCGCGACGGGCGGGGACACTGGACGGCGGCGCCCACCTGGGCCGGGGCGGGCACCTGCGGCCGCCGCGGCGCCAGGCCTGGGGTCGGCCCGCCCTGCTCTTTCCCTCGCCTCCCGCCGCCGCCCGCGCCTCACCTGCGGGCTGTCCTCCAGCGTCTCCTCGATGGGCAGCTTGTCGATTCCCGGCATCGTGGCGGAGGGAGGGCGGCGGCAGGAGACACGGCAGCCGCCCACAGCTCGCCGCGCCCGCCCGCCTGCAGCAGCTGACCCCGACCCGCCCTCTCTCGCAGGCGCGGCCGCCGTCGCCGCCCGCGCCGCTCTCGCCAGGCGCCGAGCGGCCGCGCGGGAAATCCCGCCCCCTCGGCCGCCCTGCCCCGCCTCCCAGCGCGCCCATTGGCTCGCAGCGACGCCCGTCAGCGCGGCGGGGCTAGCCCGGAGGTTCCTTCGCGGCTCTGGGTGCTGTGGTGAGCGGCGGGCTCGGGGGTGGCGCTGCTTGCTCGCTGCGACCGTCCGCCCTGCGCGCGCCTGTTGGTGGAAATTGTGGGGGACCGTCCCTCGCCTTTCAGCGAACCAGAGCCTCGTCTGAGGACCACCACCCCGGGGAGTTTGGGGTGTCTTTACTCCTCCTGCAACATTTCATCAGAGACCACGGAAGAGGCCCTACTGCCGGGGGCCTTTCTTGCTCCAATTATAACCTTCGCAACCCTGCCCGCAGCATCCAGTCTGCTCCCCACCCCCACCCCCACCCTCCCGGCGACTCGGTGCTGGCCAGCTCAGCCGGCTGTGGGATCCCAAGCTGGGTCACTAGCAGGCTTCCCCGTAAATTTATGGACGGTAGACTCGCAGTTATATTTCTGGGCACTTGGATATCAGTATATTCAGTTAAAAACATGGGACTTTATTATCAATTCATCGATTCTTACCTGGCCTGGAAGGGCTATAGTGCCTCAATTCAGACTTCAGTAGTTGTTACAAATCACAAACAAAAACATCTTTTATTTTTTTATTTTTAAATCGATTTTTTTTTATTTTATTCATCCATTCATGAAAGACACACAGAGACAGAGAGAGAGAGAGAGAGAGAGAGAGGCAGATTGGCAGAGACACAGGCAGAGGGAGAAGCAGGCCCCATCCTGGGTCCCCAGGATCACGCCCTGGGCCAAAGGCAGGCGCTAAAGCGCTGAGCCACCCGGGCTGCCCAGAAAACATCTTTAAAAGTTTAGCACACACTGGTTAATTATGTGGGTAACTGATAGGCATATCTGTTAGATCAAAAAGTTGTGGAAGAAGTTTTCAAGAGCTTCTTCAGCCTCTAATTTTACAGTAAAGAAGAGTGAAGCTCTGATTCCAAAACCTGGTCTGGGTTAGAATTCCTGGTTCTTTGTCCTCCTTCCCCAACCTCACATGTATTTCTCTATAGAGTCACAAAAAGTTTTCATCAGTATGCAAAGAAAATGGCAAAATCATAAGTGTCTTGTAAAATTCTAGCCGTTAGGAACACCTGGCTGGCTCTGTTCCTAAAGCATGCAATTCCCAATATCCAGGCTGTGGGTTTGAGTCCCACATTGGGTGTAGAGATTAAAAAAAAAAAAATCCAAAATCTTCAAAATAAATAAAACTCTAGCCATTAATCCAATCAATCCATTCCATAAGAAATGCTGAGTAAAGGGACGCCTGGGTGGCTCAGCGGCTGAGCGTCTGCCTTCAGCTGAGGACGTGATCCCAGAGTTCCCAATCAAGTCCTGCATCAGGCTCCTGCGTGGAGGCTGCTTCTCCTCCCTCTGCCCGGGTCTCTGTATCTCTCATGAATAAATAAAGTCTTTAAAAAGAAAAGAAAGAAAGAAATGCTGAGTAAAGATTATTAGTTGTCTGGTTCCACAGACACACTGGAATAGATCCAGATATAGCAGAACAAACCCAAATATGGGAACAGGAACGGAAGTTATGGATTTTAAACTGAAATGCTAGATTTTTCCCATGATCTCTTAAAAGATAAAATCTAGTTTTAAAAGTTTTACCAAGTAGATTGCAGCATTGTTTCACAGAATTATCCTTCATGTCATAAGCTTTAAATAAGGGTTTTCCCCTTATATTGTTTATCAACTACTCACCCTCAGGAAGAGATTTTTAGTTTTTGAAAGGTGGTTTGGAATCAGTTCTTAGTGTTACTGGTTCTCAACTGCTTTAAAGTTCTCAGCATTGTACAGATTCCAACTCTTTCCTTTGATATTTGTTTTCTATCCTGTAAGCACAGTGGCATGCAACCTGGCTCTAAAGAAGAAAGGTTTTTCAAGGCAAGTGACCTTCTTGGTTGAACTGTGATTGAGCTTATAAATGAAGAAGGTTGTAGCAATTGATAAGAATCAAGAGTAAGTAACAAGTAAAAACAAGTGTAAGAAAGAAGAATAATTATATGTTGTAACTGAGGGGTTTAGCCAGTTAACTTGGCCAAACCAAACAATTCAATGAAAAATTCTGTTAGGTATCTGAGTTATCTGGGTAGTGTATCATCATCAAGTTAAGTGGTTTCCCTTATTTGTATTGACGTGCATCTTGACTGTATTTTTGTAAAGGATTCTCAAGCAGCCATCAGGGAGTGGCAAGGAATTCTTGCCAGGTTTAGGCAATTAAAAATGAAACAGACTTGGAGGAACCTTAAAAAAATGAAACAAATAAAAACAAGTTGATATTCAATTAGACGGAGAGGCAGCTTAGTCAAATAATAAAACTAGAAAGAATCTTACCAGGCCTTCTTTTTGAATCCTCTACCTTTAAGCTACTATATATTCTCTTCATCCAAAAAGATTATTGTATTTACTATATTTTAAAACATTTCTTTTTTTAATATTTTACTTATTTATTCAGAGAGAGAGAGAGAGAGGAGGGAGGCAGAGACACAGGCAGAGGAAGAAGCAGGCTCCATGCAGGGAGCCCGATGTGGGACTCGATCCCGGGTCTCCAGGATCACACCCCAGGCTGCAGGCGGCGCTAAACCGCTGTGCCACCAGAGCTGCCCTTTTTAAAACATTTCTAAAGCTAAAGAATTCAGTCTCCTTTGGTAACCACTTCAATCAGCCTACATTTTGTACAGTTGACCAAGCTCAGTTCCTTTTATACAGGAAATGAGGCTATCTCTGAAAATGCCTGGGGGGCTGCTGTGGGTAGGATAGAAAAAATTTGGACAGCTGGTTAATTTTATGAAAGGAAAGGCAGGATTAAACAACACCCACTAAAGAATCCTTTGAGATGTTTCACACATATAATTCATTGAGATGTTTCCATATAATTTACAACAAAAGGACATATAATCTTGTAAATAGATTTGTTAATTATTAGCCTCCTAAAATTATATTTGATCTTCTTATAATTAGGTTTTTACATGACACTCCTTGAAGTTCTGGTCTGTGGTCTGTAATAGGAAAGAACCCAACAACTTGAATGATGCTGGAGCTTTACTTTTCAAAATTATCTCCATAGGTCAGTGGTTATCAAACTCACCCACATGCAAAAGTTATCTCAGGGAAGTTGTTAGGGTACAGATTACTGAGCTCAGCTGGAAGATTCTAATGCAGCTGGTCAGAGGTGGGGCCGGGAATCTGCCCAGATAAGTCCAAAGATAATCTTCAAACCACATGTTAAAAGTCTCTATCCAAAATGGAGAATAAGCAGGGGCACCTGGCTGGCTCCATCAGTAGAGCATGTAACTCTTAATCTCAGGATTTTGAGTTCAAGTCCCATATTGGGTGTAGCAATTACTTAAAAATAAAATCCTGTGGTGGCTCACTCAGCTAAGTGTCCAACTCTTGATTTCCGCTCAGGTCATGATCTCAGGGCCGTGAGGTGAAGCCCCCTAGGGGCTTGGTGCTAGCCATTGAGCCTGCTTATGATTCTCTCTTCCTCTCCCTCTGGCCCCTCCTTCCTCTAAAAAAAACAATAAAGTAAATAAATAAAATTGTCTTAAAAAGGAGAATAACCATTTTTTTTCCTAAATAAGCTTGTATTTTAGAAAATTTACAGAATCATGTAAACATTTAGGAAAAGGGCTTTTGGTTCCAGCTGAGGATGGTGAGAGGGACACCATTTCTAGAATCACCTGAAAGAGCTTGGGAATCCTCCTGCTCACAAGTATACCCTTAAGAATTCCCTTAATCTGAAATAGAGGAATTCATATTCATAATGTATAGTGTAAATAATTCTGGATTTACCTGATCACTCCTTAATGTGACTCATTTAATAGATAATTCAGTTGTTTTCTTTTTTTTTAAAGATTTATTTATTTATGATAGAGAGAGAGAGAGAGAGGCAGAGACACAGGAGGAGGGAGAAACAGGCTCCATGCCAGGAGCCCGATGCGGGACTCGATCCCGGGACTCCAGGACCGCGCCCTGGGCCAAAGGCAGGCGCCAAACCGCTGAGCTACCCAGGGATCCCCAGTTGTTTTCTAACATCCAGCTGAAATGAATCCAGTTCAAGAAATGAGTATATTAATTGGTATCTTGGGAACTTGAGTCTCTTCTATCTACTTTGAAACATTAGAACCAGTGGTAGAGTTGGGGAAAGCTTTGGGCAATTGGAAGGTAAAATCAAAAGTTCTGAGGTGGATAAGCAGCAAGGACCAACTGCTTTTATTTTTTTCTACTTTTCTACTTTTCATTAATTACCATTAAAAGTTTATTTACTTATATAAGTAATCTCTACATCCAACATGGGGCTTGAACTCACACCCCGGAGTCACATGTTCTTCTCACAGAGCCAGCAGGTGCCCTAAATATTAAATGTTTTAATGCCTTATTTTTTTTTTAAGATTCATTTATTCATTTGAGAGAGAGAGCTTGTGAGCAGGGGGGAGCGAGCTTTGAGGGAGAGAGAGAGATAGAGAGAGAGAGAAGCAGACTCCCAGCTGAGCATGGAGCTCTACTCAAGGCTCCATCTCACAACCCTGAGATCATGACCTGAGCCAAAATCGGGAGTCAGGTGCTTAACAAACTGAGCCACCCAAAAGCCCTGCCCCTTTAATGCTTTTATTTTTTTTTTTAAGATTTTATTTATTTGAGAGAGAGAGAGAGAGAGAGAGAGAGAGAGAGAGCATGAGTGGGGGGAGGGGCAGAAGCAGACTCCCCTGCTGAGCAGGTAGCCTGACATGGAGCCTGATTCTAGAACTCTGGGATCATGACCTTAACCAACTGAGCCACCCAGGTGCTCTCCTTTAATGCTTTTATTTATTTTCTAATTCTTTTATTATTTTTTAACCTTTTTAAAAAAGATTTTATTTATTTATTCATAGAGACACAGAGAGAGAGAGAGAGGCAGAGACACAGGCAGACGGAGAAGCAGGCTCCATGCAGGGAGCCGGATGTGGGACTTCATCCCTGGTCTCCAGGATCACACCCTGGGCTGCAGGTGGTGCTAAACTGCTGCGCCACTGGGGCTGCCCTATTCTCTAATGCTTTTAAAACAGCTTTCCTTTTCTTCATTTTTCCTCTTTATCATATCTAAAGAAACCAATATTTTCTAAATCAGAAGA